TATATAAAAAACCGTTTAATTGTTATGATGTTTTCTTTATATACATTCAATATTACGGTTGATTTCGGATTAAGATCTGAGAATAAAACATTTTAAAAGTTTATTTGTGGATAAAACAAATTTTACAGAATTTGTTTAAAATAAATCTTGTCAAGCCCGACGCAAATAGACAAAATCAGGCAAAACAACGGCAGGTCGACGAATGTTTTAGGAAAAGGTCAAAAACATAAATTTAAGTTTTGAAAGTCAACCAGTAGCAATCAGTCATTTTATTAAGTATTACGTTGTTTTGTTTATATAAATTAGTTATTATGGACGATTCCATCGATTTAAGAATATATTTTTTAAACGTTTATTAGCGGATAGCGTATTGTACATTTTATAAAATTTATATAACTCGGTTCAAGCACGAAGAAAAAGGACGAAACTAACAATTAAGTTAACATGTTCTTTATAAAAAAATTTTTAGAAAACTTATATTAGGGGAAGCTATAAACAGTATGGAATTTTTGATTTATAAAGTTTTCTGACAGATTTTGATATTAAAAACATTTAATTTAAATATTTATTATTTTTTACAACAATTAAAAAAAGTTAATTGTATAAATTCACTTTTTTCCACATCCTACATCTATTTGTTAAATTTAAACAATGTTTGTAAATCCCAGGCCCTGAAGATGATCTCAATAAAGGTCGAAACGTTGGCAAGATAAAGAAAATGTTTCTCTGAAACCTACATCACACCAGACCGCATCTCACGATTTCTGAATAATTATGGACTAACGGTCACTATTCACGGCATAAAAAATTTAAAAAGTTTATTTTTGGATAAAACGTATATCATACAATTTATATAACATAAATCTGATCAAACCCTAAGAAAATAGATGAAATCAATAGCAAACGGGTATTATAGGGATTTTTTTAGCCTAGAACGTTTTCCACAAAGGCAAAACAACGGCAGATCGACGAATATTTTTGGAAAAGGGCATAAACATTAACTTAAGTTTTGAAAGTCAATTAGTCAACAATCCAACTTTGATTTTATGAAATATTACGTTCATATTAGATTAAAATGGTCAAAATAGATAAAAACCAAAACGTTTATTTACAGACAAAATTACTCAGTTTTTTAGTCCTAAGAAGATGTAAGAGTAAAAGATTAATAAAGTTTATTATGGGATATTTTATGTCGTTTTAAGGTGTTATGCCAAATTTTAGCCAATATTCCTCTCTTGAAGAAACACGGAAAAGATTTTTTTTATTTCATATTGAAATCGAACAATAAAATTTGTTTAACGTTTATTGGTTGTTAGAGATTAATTTACAACACACATTTTTACTGTTCACTTAAATCTGGTTAAACTCTAGGAAAAAGGATGAAACCTGCAGTGAACGGACTTGCCATAAGACATAAACCTCCTAGGTAGGCACAAAAAAGGACTATTTAAGGCAAAGTCCATAAATAAATAATCAACAAATCTTTTAAATATTTTGAGAAAAAAATTATAACTTTAAAAATCCGAACTATTATTGTACTGATGTTTTGTTCACATAAATTAGTATTATAGTTGATTTAGGAAATCTAAGTATAACATCAAAAGAGGTTTATTAGTGGATAAAACATAATGTCTAACATTTCTAAGACATTTTCAAGAGAAAAACAAACGGTTTATTACAGAATAAAACATTTTTTATTGCGTACATAATGTATTTTCATTATTTATCGTTTCTGATTTCACATTTAAGAAGTTTTAAGAGTAAACATCTAAATTTTTTGTTAAGGGCAAAATATTTTTTTTTTTTTTTTTTTTTTAAAGAAAAACCAAAATGGAAAAATTCAAGGTTTGTACAGTTCAAAAATGTATGAATTTTGATTTGTTTAATTTTCGCCAAATTTTTATTTAAAACAAATTACAGTAATGTGAATGGATAAATAAATAAACAATACTGTGTTCTCTCATAAAGTAAGTACCATGGCAGATTTTACGTTAAAAAGATCTTCATTTATGTATGAAACGTATTTTTTATTTCAAGGGCAATATATTTTCACTGCTTAATGCTTCAATTTTCATGTTTCAGCATAAAAGATGGTTTTGAAGTCAAAAATGCGTAACACGCACTGGCAGGACGACGAGGAACGTTTCAATCCTTTAAATATTCAGATAACGTTGGAATTTTTAAAATCAAAAACCCAGAGTAATCAGTTTAAATTTTGTTTGTGCTAGATTTTATGTAAAATAAAGTTTGTAAGGGTAAAAAAAATTTAAAATTTAATTTTTCTATTTTATAGTATTTATTTCGTAATTTCGCTACTCAGTGATGTTCCGTTTTTGTTCACACGTTCAAGCCCGAAGAAAACAGGTCAAAAGGTTAAAAACGGATGTAATTTGTTTAAAATAGATTATAATTACAAATGACATTTATAAGTAATAATTATAATGGGACATTGTAAACAGCTATGAACTTTTGAACAACTTCTTCGGTGGAATTCGGTTGATTGTTATAGTCGATAAAATTGCTAAAGACACGACTTTTTATTAATTTTGTATTATCTCCAGTGTTGATTGACACGATTAATTCAAACGGTGAATCAATAAAATCAACCGTAATCAGTGGATGGGCAGAAAATTATCCTTTTCCCACCCGTCTCATTTGTATATGTACATCCGCTTTGTATGATTATTGTTAATCACCGATCAGAGTGATGAAACATTGGGACAGAAGGTGACAAAATTTCGAAATTTAAATTTCAGAAAAATATTTTTACTAAATACCTTCCCAATGTTATGCAATCCCTCCTGAAGTTTGGATTTCCTGCAATGCAGTCTTTATTTATTATGAAAAGTTGTTCAATGTTTATGAATTTTTTTTAAAGATCAGCTTTAAATCGTCAGATCTTACAAGCGGTTCAGAGGATTGTCTTTCCCCAATCACTTTATCATCTTCAGTTATTACTTTGTTTTTAAATATTCTTGGCTGTCCGCAAAGTTTCTCGACCCTCTCGTCCCATAATTTTCTCTCAATGAAACAATATAAAATAAAAATATATAATAAAAGATTAATGATATTTTTTTTTACTTGACTTATTGTTTTATGAGTATTTCTTTGCTTTGAGACGGAAATCTCATTTAAAATAGGTTTTCTTCTCTGGAACTCTTTCAGAAAGAAGCAAGAAGAAATAAGCATAATTTCTTTTGAATCTTACAAAGAAAAAGTAACAGAATAATGGTTAGAATTAATGTATAAACTGAATATTGAAGTTTTATCATAGGAGTAAAAGATCTAGTATTATTTTTCCGTTGAGCACAAAACAACGCGAAATGACTGCCCTCAAGAAAGAAAAAAACCTTTGCGGTTGACCCGATGGCCGTTACTTCAGTTGTCTCGAGGTTTTACGGATTTGTGATATTGCCTTATTCGAGCTTTTATTTTATAACAAAGTCCCCCTTGAGTGCGACGAGAAAAGCTGAATATTTCACCGGGTCAAAGAAAGGTTTCCCGGTCTCGGAATCCAGATGGAGCAACGTCTTTCATTGCTGCTCGAAACAGTCACGCGACAAAAGTAATCGCCCTTTGCGTAACGGTTAATCTTACAATATTGCTTAATCGTACATTACATCCGAATAAACCCGGGGAGGTGGAAGTTTTAATTCTGAGAGGAAATCCTTTATGAAACTTTTGAATATTGATGTAGATTGGGACTCCAGAAGATTCGTTAGGGATTTAAAAACCGGGGTTAAAAAGGAACAAATAAAGCTTAGTTTTATCAAAGGGATTTTAAACCACACAGCAATTTCCAAAATAAAAATCAAAACGAAAGTATCTGTACTTTTCTACTCGAACCTGCAAGCAAAATGTTTCCTTCGCCCATAAGGAACTAAATATTTTTGAATTTTAATTCGCTTTCGCCTTCGAGGAAACCGGTTTTGGCCTGGGTTAAAGCGGCGTTCTTACAGAGAATCACATCTGCTTTTCGTGTGTCACGATAAAGGCTCGCGGAAATCAAAGAAGTAACGTGCTAACTTAATTAAGAAGTTCCAAACTATCGATGGCGTCAAGTCCGAACGCGTACAAAGACAAGCGTGCCGATCTTAAGTCATAAACACCTGTTAATCACATTCACAAAGTATTTAGTAATCCTTATTGTACCACATACGACTCGAGTCAAAATCCATGGCAACATCAAGACCAACGGTCCGGAAATCATTCAATTTTGATCGTAAGTTACTGTCAATTCAACGTCGACTCGGAACCTACAGCGTATCGAAAAAATTAGATTTCCCCATAATTTCAAAATCTAGTTTTGATCTTTCTGCTTTGAAATGGGTCCTTATTAGCGAAATACCTGTTAAACCCGCGTTAAACGTTCTATATCATAATGATCTTTTCTTAAAGCTTGCAACATTATTCATGGTCGTTGCTTTTAACGATAAAAAGTTTGTAAATAAAGTGTTAACGAGAAGGAAACAGCGAAAAACTATGTTATGTATCGTTATTGCGAAAAAATATTTCAAAATCAAACTTCTATATTGTTTATTAGAAATATGTTTAGTTGTTCACACAGAATTCGACTTTATTAAGCTTTCTGTGTTTTTCGAAGGGTAAAAGTTTCTTTGACAAGTGTATAAGATAACGACGTTCATCTCTAGAAGCTTTTTGGCTTTCGGAACGGTGATAAATTGTCATAGGATTGTAAAACGTGTCGATTATGAAGAATACACGTCATGGCAGAAGAGTTCGTGGAGAGTTTAACGACCGGATTAAAAGAAAGACGTGACGTTATTCCCAATGCACTCCGTATGCTTGTTTTAGCGTTTCTGTAAGTAAATGTCAACCGGTGTCCCGTCCGGTCGAAACACCTTGAGCCGGAGTAGTTTCAAGGTAAAACAAAAGACGGGAAAGGATCTCGGGCCGGATGGCACCGCGATCCATCCGCTGCAACGTCCGAGGCTGTTGAACCTCGCTCCTGCCTCTTCAGTATTTCCTGCAGTGTTTACCTTGTTTAACGGGCTGGACAGGAGTGAGATCGCCGATCCCGACGAGGCCGACGAGTAGAAAAACGAACGCCGCACCGCTTCCCATTGTTCTTCCTCGGTGCTGAAATTCACTACTATCTCACATCATCACCACTCATCGCCGGCGGACGGTATATACCCGGCAGACGGCACGCGCGGACGACGGACACCATGTGGCTCTAGTCGGTGCGATACGACGGCATGTCTTTCTGGACTGGACGAGAAAAGGGTGCGATACGGTTCCCTTTCGAAAGCCGGGGGTAGACTGACTCCGGTTCAGTCAGTTTTGTTGATGTACACAGAGAAGGGGAAGCCCTTTCGCCAACGGCATCTGTCCGGCTCGGCGCAAACCCGTTCTCCGTCTCCCCTTCACTTTAACGTCACCTGCTGAGGACGTGTTCAACCAGAATCGAACATTGTATTTCTTCATAAGCATCGATATGTGATACACACAACCCCGTGGGAACATCCAAACAAACAGACCAAAGAGGTGGCATCAAGAAACGTATAACAAAAACGACACTTTTTCAACCAATATCATACGTTTGAAATCCCAATTTTGATAAATTTATAATAATAAACAGTCTAGAAATTATTTTATTTAAACAACTATTATGATTAATTAAAATCTTACCCTTTTTCAAAAGATATTTTTGCTCAGTTAACAATAAATTTAAAGATTATTTAGATATCGTGATATGCGGTCTGGTGCGATGTAGGTTTAGAAAACATTTTCTTTATCGGGCCAATGTTTCGATCTTTATTCAGATCATCTTCAGGGCCTGGGATTTATAATCATTGTTTCAATTATACAAACATATATATGTAGAACAATATAGAAATTTTAGGTTTAATCAAATATTTGTACTCACTCAAAGTGTGTTTTTCTGTGTTAAACTACGTCACACTAGCCTGCATCTCACGATTTCTAAATAATCATTAATTAACGGTCAGTAAATTCTACAAATAAATTAAAAAATTTACCACTCTTTTTTTACATTTATCTTCTTAATTTGAGATGTAAGTCAATTTGGGTAGAATAAACATTCTATTTTATTTGGCCGAAGTTTCGAAAAATTTATTTCTTTTTCAAGGCAAAAAGCAAAACGCCAAAGAAATATTCAAAAACTATTACTTGTTAACACATATTATTAACTATAAATTTATTGTTTTTTAAACAAAAAGTAATTCATATTAAATAATTTATTATTCATTTTTTTCACAATACTTTGCCTTTATAAAGTAAATCAATTTTCCGAAACGTTGGCCAAATGAAATCGATTTTTTTCTGTTACGATAATTGACCGCACATCCCAAATTAATAAAATTAATAATAACAACGTAATTTGAGGGCGTCGGGGGCTTTAACAGTTATGGTGGTTCCGGGTTCGAATCCAGCCGCCCTGCGTTTAAAAAAATGACATATCCCGAATCTAGATCAATTTTGTAAAAATGGTAAAAATATTTATGCTGCAATAATTTTTTTCACAGCATAATAATAAATTGAACTAAACTCATTTTCCCTCAGATCTGTAAAATCAGTCAAATATCAAGAAAAATATTGGAAATTATTGGTTAATAATTTATCAATCATATTCATAATTATTAGAACAAGATATAATTGTATTTTTAAATAATCCCAAACAATAATGTAATATAAAAGTAGATAAAAATAAAAATCCAAATAAAGAAAAAGAGAAATGTCAATGTAGCATGATAATTAATTAAAATTGATAATTATTGTCCTACATCATTTAGTTGCAAATCAGGCATAAGAAAATTAAAAAAGCCCGCTTGACACCTAATGAATTAAAACAATAACAAACTAAAAACAGCACGAACCTTTCTAGTATTGTGTATACTTAGTTTGTGTTAACAGTGAATGTATTTATTGGCGTGAATAGGTAGATGGCGGAATATGAAGTATACCATCGACCCTCAATTGGGTTAGTTGTATAATAAGTGTAAAGGTTGTATTGAGAATGAATGTATTTATTAGCGTGAATGTGTGATGTGAGAGGGTCGATGGCGGAATATCGAATACCCCATCGACCCTCAATTGGGTTAGTTGTATAATATGTGTAAAGGATGTATTTATTAGCGTGCATTGGTGGTGTGAGAGAGTAGATGGCGCAATATCGAATACCCCATCGACTCTCAATTGGGTTAGTTGTATAATAAGTAAGTGTAAAGGTTGTATTGAGAATGAATGTATTTATTAGCGTGAATGTGTGATGTGAGAGGGTCGTTGGTGGAATATCGAATACCCCATCGACCGTCAATTAGGTTAGTTGTATAATGTTTGTAAAGGGTGATGGAGGAATATCGAGTTCCACCCTAATAGAATGTAAATAGAAATGAATGTATTTAAAAATTAACGTGAGTACGAATGGGTTTGGAACTGCATCCTTGGGTGCTGAATTGATCTAGCTGTCGATAGCACCTGGAGTCCAACCTCGGTGGCTGGACGGATACTGAGGTCTGCCCCCGGACGCCAACACCGCGGTGGGTGATTCTCGAGTCTGCCCGCAATTCACTTTAAATAGCAAAAGCTGAAATTGCGGGTGGACTACGAAAAGCGAATAGGCTCAAATGATTATATGTACGTACGTACATGTGCGAATTTGAGCCTATATAAATCCAAATCCCATCCTTTTTTAGTAGTTACCAGATACGTTAAGGAACGATATTAATATTTAAAAATAAGTGAAAATAAAAACTTCATTCAAAAAACATCATTAACTTGAGCAGGACAACTTGAACAAGACCATCAAATAATCATCAGGGCTGAAACTAAACATATGACGTTGAGTGTCAGCGACTGTCATGAAAAGGTAGCAAAAAAAAACTTGGACAAGATCATCAAATAATCATCAGGGCTGAAACTGAACATATGACTTTGAAAAAACGACTATCATGAAAAGGTAGCAAAAACATCATATGTAAGTAACGATAATTACTTCTGGACGAAGTCTTATTCTCAGATGATAGTAAATTTAATACTTTTCAGATGTGATGAACCAGGGTCAAAATTGGTTCATTCCAGGCTCAATAATTCAAACAAAAACGGACCACCAAAATTAAATAGTGTGATATTCATAGTCATTCATAATTTTTTGCGAATCAATTTTTATTTAATTTTCGAAAAATTGTATTAACAAAATGTTTTCATTTGATCCACGGTTTAAGCTATTAGTAAAAAAAATTAACTTTCAATAATCCTTTATTATAAAGGACAAGAGAATACTTTTTCCAGGAATATTCAACATTTGAAAAATAATAATAATAAATATATAATATATAATAATAAATCATTATATTTCTGTCAATTTCATTTCGCTGTAGATTTTTAAGAGCAAACTTTCCTATAAAAACGTAACATACCGCCCACCATTATTAACAAATATTTTTGTTTATTATTATAGCGCAATCGAGGAACTTTATTTGCTTTGAGAAAAACAGGAATTAAAATAGAGACAATAAGCCATTAAGAAATAGATTTAACAAGCAAATCCTGATATTGGTCAATCTGCTGGCCAATCTCCGCCTATTCTCGATTATCATTTCTTCTCACACTAAAAAATGCATGCATTTTTTCTCATAATTAACAATAATTAGAGGAAATTCAACAGGGAAAAGTTATTAATTTAAAGGAAGTATTGAAAGTACCTTACGATAATATATAAAACTTCTTCCTGCAAAATATGCACAACCGATAAGTAATCAATTTTAATAATTACTTTAAAATTTTGCCAATAAAGCTAATAACGTTATATTTTATTAATAAGAAAATGGTTTTCTCTTAAGATAATAGATGGGATTTTGTTAAATAGTCTAACGAGTAAGCACGTTGTGTACTCTATCACTTGTAAATTTATCGTAGATAGGCTTTTACCATTTACTAAATTCTCTTCTAGTGTTTAAACTGTAGACACAAGTTGAAATTTATGCTTGTTGCAAGGGAAATAGCCTACCTCCATGTATTTGCCATGTTTCTTGTTGATAAAGAGGGTTTCCTTCTGTCTCTAGTTTGGATCTTAGTCAAAAGAGTGAGAGAAAAAAGTTGTTCCTTGAATTGGTACAAGTTTAACCATGAATCATGATTAAGAATTATTACTAATGTATGTAGTATGACGCGTGATAGAAAGTGAAATTAATTGACCGGAAATTATATCTGAGAGTTGTTTTATTTGTATTTATTGTTAGTGTTTTTTTCTTGTTTATTCTCTATTTTTCATTCAACCGAGAAACCTTCTCTGATAAACTGATTCAGAATTATGAACACAAAGATATTCATTAACGAGATATTTGATTTTTATCGTCGATACTGGACGAACCCATATAGGACAAGATAAAATCAACACTTATGTTATTTATTTATTTTTCTTTTAAGATTGTACATTCTTCATTTGTTTATTTTAAAAAATACAAATTCGTGTACATTTGAAAATAAAATTGAGGTGTAATAGTCGGACCTATTGGACATCATTGACCTTATTGACATCACTTATTACTACTGTATCTTCATGAGAATTTTACTTTGTTTTCTCTCTCTATTTTTTTTTTTTTATTTACTGTTCTTTCTGCCTTTGTACTTTACTTTCAACATTCTCGTATATTGCAAAAATATATTCTGTATTTTCTTCTGTACTTTTTGGATTCAATTTAAAATAAAATATTAAACTTCCATGAATATCTGAGAAAGTCTACCTCTATTTTATAATAAAAATTTAGCTTTCGTATAAACCTGAGAAGACAATTCACCTATGATAGTCGTACTTAATGAACAATTTTGATCGTAATTGATTACATCAATTAGTAATTTCGACCAAAAAAGAGACGTACAAATAGACTGACATGAACCCACGAAAACCAACATTCCAAAATATACAAAAACAAAATACACCAATAAGACAAGACAAACTACAGAGCAGCCCATCTACATATACGTCACAACAACTATCGAACACAGTACAAAAGACAGCAGAACAAAACTAATTTAACTAGAACAAAAATGGAAAAATGGAATAGAAATTAATAACTCAACCTCAACCATACAGAAGAAGTATTTTTACGAATTTATTTTTGTATTTTGAAGAGAAATACTTCTACTAAATTAGTACTTCACTCTTCTCGATAAAATAGACATAAGCAACTGCATAAACCACATTGACAGGCTTGTTCTCCATACACAAAAATATAAAATTCATAGCAGAACTAGAAAATAACAACAGTGTGACGACCTGCCAAACTGCTATTTTGTTTTCAGCCATGAGGGCCAGGAAGGTAATTAATAAAATTTTAAAAAAACAATTTTCCACATGGAGTTATCCCCCCTACGATAAAGTTTAAGTTAAAGTTATAAAGTACATAATTTCTTGGACTTAACAATCGTTCGGTCCGCAACAGCATACACAGCATACACGCCAACTCAAATCACCCCTAGACACAAAATGGCAGTCCTTTTAAAAAGATGGTTCCTGGTCACAGTAAGTTGTTTTCTAACGATCCGGATTTCGAGCTTTTAGCTCATCATCAGGTTGAAGGAGTTCTACGACCAAATGATGAGCTAAGCTCGTAATCCGGATCATTAGAAAACAACTTACTGTGAGTAGGAACTATCTTTTTAAAAGGATTGAACATCGCAGTCACTCCACCATTCATCACTTTTACAAAACGGCAGCACTAAAATACATAAAAAATATACTAAAAACAGTACTTCAAAAGATAGTGAAGAGACAATCACAACACAGACACAGAACAATACAGACAACATGAAACTATACTGCGGACAAAAAGGACGAAAAATGAACATACTAGAAAACTTAGAAATATATAAACAACATATTTAACATTAAAATACGCATAAATATGGAAATTAACATAAATTACAAATTAACAGTTCACGTACGTCAGAGAAAGGTCCAACGATCACAAAGATCAACAATAAAAACATTAATGAATTAATTAGGTATTAGAATTAATGCTCCAAGGTGACAAATAAAGAAAACACCGACACATGCATCCTACCTCCCACGACCCTATAAAAGAGACTTGGGGTATAGAAACTCACAGACATACTGAAAATAGCGAAATGACGAAACGCGTCTGGCAATTAAGCTTTATTTTGGGTGTATTTCTTTCTTATTTTATACCTCTAATACTGTCACTTCATTCTACCTTCTAGATTCAATTTAAAGAGCCGAAGGTCGTGGGTTCGAATCCCACACATGACACTAACTTTTTATCTCAACCAAGAATCGTAAAAAGAATAATTAATTTAAAGAGAAAAATTGAACTTTTTTCAGTTTTGGTTGGGTGCGACCTCTTCAGATCGCTCATTCGAGTATATCTGAGAAGGAAAATCATTTGATTGTTAAAAATGCCAAATCTCTTGTGTTTCTCCTTTTCAGTTGTTTTTATTCTAAAGAATTCTTTCAAATCATTGACGAGGATCATATTTGAGATCATTACAGGGTGTTTTTCGCCTAGTTTTGTAATGCCAGCAGGGTCTTTCATTTTTTCTGAACTAAAGAGAAAAAATAAACTTTCATGAACATCTCAGTAGAAAAATCACGTTAACATTTATCAAACCAGAATGTGATGTCTTTCTTGTCTGATCAGTTATTATCTATAACTTTTTGGATAGTTTCTTACTTATTTTTTATTCCAATACTGTCATTGCTTTGCAATTTTGGGTTTTATCTATTGAGAAGTATTTATGTTTTCAGATGAAAACTGGCTTAATATTTAAAAAATATTTTCAGTGCTTTTATTTTACATTTTGTACTTACAATACATAGTTGTACTTGTTCGAACTTTCTGGATTAATTTCAAAGAAAACATCCAACCTCCTTGCATATCTGAGAAGAAACTTCGCCTAATATTTGAAAATTAACAACTACTGATGCTTTCTCTTGAGTATGCAACGTGTAAGACGTCACTCATTGCTAGTAGCTCTGCATATGTCTTTTTTTATCCCTAATTTTGTTCTTCCAATCATAATTGCAACTTCTATGAGCCTTTCTGGATTAAATTTAAAAAATCCAATTTCCTTGTATATCTGAGAAGAAACTTCTAATATTTGAAAATTAACAACTACGGATGCTTTCTCTTGAGTGTGCAACATTTTTTGAACATTACAGATCATATAAAGCGGCCCATACACGCTCAATATTATTGCGCAATATTTAGGTTTGTGCAATATGGTTGATCGTGTGTAGTCGAAATTGAAAGGTTGTGCAATATATTGTGCTAAATTCAAATCCTTGAAAATATATTGTGCAAACGGGAAAAGGTTGTGCCGTCTGTAGGCAATATTGCGCAAAATCCCATCAGTCAGTATCAACACGTGGTAGAGTACGCGTCGTCATGGCTGCCAAGGAAGCTGATAGGCAATTCATTTTCGAATTGATTGACGTTTATCGTGGCCTTCCANACATCCTAAATGTATTTGTTAAATGTAAACATTGTTTGTAAATCCCTGGCCCTGAAGATGATCTCAATAAAAGATCGAAACGTTGGCACGATAAAGAAAATGTTTTTCTGAAACCTACATCACACCCGTCCGCATTTCACGATATCTGAATAACTATCTGAGAAGAAACTTCTAACATTTGAAAATTAACTGCTGATGCTTTCTCTTGAGTGTGCAACATTTTTGAACATTACAGACCATATAAGACTTCACTCATTGCTAGTAGCTCTGCATGTGTTTTTCTATTTCTTATTTTGTCCTGCCAATGCATAATTGTAACTTCCATGAACCTTCTGGATTAAATTTGTAAAAAAAATCCAATTTCCTTGTATATCTGAGAAGAAACTTCGTATAATATTTGAAAATGAATACCTATTGATGCTTTATGACCGTGCAACTTTTGTCATTACAGACAACATAAGACGTCACTTAAAACTAGTAGTTATGCGAGAGTATTTTTGTTTCTTATTTAGTACGTCCAACACTGGTACTTCTTGGGACTTTTTTAATTTAATTTCAAGGAGAAAAAGTACACTTTCTTGTACTTCTTTGAACTAGAATCTCACTTCAACTTTAAGAAATAAACCCGACTGTGATGTTTCTTCTTTTTTTATCGTTTTTGTTTTATAAATTTGAAAAAAATGTTTTGATTGATCAACAGAGTACAGTGATAACTGACAGACATTTACTTTATAAGATAAACCGCTGATAAAATTATTAAAAACCATTAAGAAAACTTGCCTTTTTCCTTTTCTTTTATACATGCCAATAAAATAATAGTGTGTCTTGTTAACGTTCGGTGAACTGTTGACATATCACCAGAAAATATGCCAAGGCGACTCCTCCCCTCTTCGTTGTAAGTCGTTAGAATCGAGCCACTCGTCGACGAGGAGAGCCCAGTCTGATAATAATATGACAATCTCCGGTCGCTCGTTAACTTCATTTCGTAGTTTTTAGTGGGTCTGTTACAAAATTGTTTGGATTTTTTTTTTTTTTTTTGAGAGAGAGAAAGAAAAATTGTTCTTTTTGACCTAACGTCACGATAAAGTGTAGAAAGGGGGACGGACGTGTTTTCCGATCCTCGACACTGGTGATATCAGCCCGATGACACAATTTCAATTTTTGGCGTAACTTGACGATATCGCGTACGGTGATTTTGGCCGAGACTCGGCCAAATCGTCGAAATGGTCTTCGAATCAATTTTGGTCGACATGCTCAACAAGTACCTGGGTCAGTATGTTGAAAACTTGGACTCGTCACAGCTCAAAGTCGGCATCTGGGGAGGTGAGATTCCCACTTGTTTTGTTTCTTAAAAAAAAATCTTCAGAGGTTTCTTTCGACAATTTTTCAAAATTTAATTTTTATCTTGCAGGTAACGTCGTTCTGCATAATCTCTACCTGCGTGCCAATACTCTCGATGAGCTTGATCTTCCTGTCAAAACACTGTTTGGTTGTTTAGGTAAGTCTCTCTTATCAATAGATAATAAACTGACAAACTCATTCATACCAAACTATATGAAAAGCATAAAATCTTATTTCTACAGATCCCTTAATATTTTAAATGAAAACATCCATCCTGACTGCAATTTTCCAGCTGTATTCTTATGTACATAAAGATTGTTGTCAATATGTCCACAAATATTTTTGTCAATTCCAAAATTATCATTTTAAGACAAAGAACAAATCTGGTCGAACAATACGTCTGTTGAACAGCCTTGATGGCGATTGAAATTAAAAAACAATATTGTGAGACTTTTCTGTGTGATCTGCGGGGTTGAACTTACAGACACAACACTGCAGATGGCAAATTGCTGAAACAGCCCGACACAGCGTGAATAGGCAGAACAGGATAATAATTAACGACCAAATTTAAAATCACTAGGCGTGACTTCCAGGGGGCTGTTTCATAAAACAAGTTACAAGTTTACAATTCTACAGGTACTTATAATGCTCAGTGTGAAAGTATGACTGTTTCACCACAAAAAGTTTACCATTGTAAAAAAAATTTACAGGAAAATGTTACACGTACCGGTGTCAGACATACCTTGAAAGGTTACTATTTGTTAAAATCCTTCTGTCAGAATGATAATATTCAGAAATTTTTTTGTGTGACTTATTAAAACTGACAGACCAGTGAAGATGGCAAAATGCCGAAACACGTTCGACATACGAACTCAACGAGGATAGGCAGACCAGGATAATCGTTAATGTTCAAATAAAGAACAAGTCTGACTTCCAGGCTCTTGTATTAAGCAGTTCCGAAATTTCAGTTATTGGGAACATTCAAGAGAATCTTTGCATTGAAATTTTACTAACTTCGTGAAAAAGTTTACATTTTAAAATTTCAAATAATAAAATCATCATGATGCCTCATGTCTGTGGGTTGATGAACCTACAGCAGGTTTGTATTGCTCATCCTGGTCTATATATTCTCGCCGATTTAGTCTGTCTGCTGACAATTTCAGTAAATGAGAACATTTGAGTGAAACTGTGCAATAAAAATCAAATTCATTGAAAAAGCAGTGCATTTTAATTGGAAAAAATGATACGGAAACCATATTTTTTTTTCTGATTTGACAAATATGACTGAAATCTTTGAGCTGTATTCTTATATTTCTTATGTATATAAACATTTTGTGTAATTTGAGACAGTTGTTACTTCCAGCCATTACCATTGTAAAACATAAAAGAATGAATCAGTAATACACCATATTTTTTCGTTTGATGTGCTTTTTTTAGTGGAACTCCATCATCAGCTTTAGTTCCAATTGATTAGAAATTTATTTTATTTGGGAAGCTTTTAACTTACAATGTAAGCATCTTCAGCCTTATTCTCTTTACGAGGTATTTTGTTGTCGTGGGCTTATGAACCTGTAACATGATCATCTCCGATCACACTGGTCTCTCTATTCAGCCTGATTTTATAAGATTGCTACGGTTGTTTCTTGATTTCAGTTCTTCAATTAAGAGTGCTATAAAAACTGTCTTATATCAATTGTTTTAGTTGCATTAAGTAATCCACCAATTTCAGAAAATTAGGAACACGTAAGATATGCCACAAAAAGCTTTCAAATTCATTGGTGAAAATTTCATAAATGCGATTCCTTGAGCAAAAAATACCATGTCGATGTCTACAATGAAGCCATTTTCATTGGTTTTGCTTGTCAGATAAGTTTTACTGTCTTCAGTGCACGTCACTTTCCGTAAATCTGTGCAATAAAAATTACATTAATTCCTTGAAAAACAACATTTTTATCCTTCAAATAATAAAGTAATTGTGATGCCTTGTTTTGTCTATGGGATTTTATTACGTCAGGCAAGAAATAAGTTATCAGTTGTGTTGTTTAGTTGTATTATCATTTAATACTATAGGTGTCATAAAAATCCATGAAATCCTTGAAATACTTTTGCAAGAGTTTCATACTTAAATCACTGTTACATTTCAAACAGCATGAATAAGATAATTGATTAAAAAGTTTTAAGCAAAGTGGGTGGATCTTCAAATTAATGTGCAGTACATAAATTCCCTTAGAAACTAAATTTTAGTATTTCCACCAATAAATTAATTGTTAAATTTCTCTGTGTAGTCTGCTAGGTGATAAACCTGTAATTTTGAAAGCCGAAGCACATCTGACAGACTAGAATAGGCAGACCAAAATAATTGGCAAACAAATAAATTAACTGCCTGTTAGACTTACTATATATTTAGTTGTTTAGTTACATTATTGCAAACTATTTATGCAAGTATCAGTACTTAAAAAGTGTATAAAACCCTTGAATGTTTATTAGTTTATTTTAAATTTAAGATATGTAGACCAATGTAATAATGTGATAAAAATTGTTTATTTAAAAAAGTTATAACAAATAAAACTATATAATTGAAATGACTAATGAGTAACGAGTTGTAATATTCTTGAACTCAGACATTAACATTAATTGACACTACTACTCTAAAAATTAAAAAAATAAATAAATAAAGCAAAAAGTTTTCTGAGTTCATTTCTAAAGTACGCTACGGTCCTTAGAAACCATAAATTACAGTTACAAAAAATAATAAGAAAATAAATAAGGTGAAGAATAATAAAGTAGGACAATAATTGGCCACAAAATTTCATAATACTTGCATAAGTGATAAATATGATAATTCGCGTAACTGGGCTAATCATTTTCAAGAAATTCAGACAGACATAGCCTAAGGGGGTGGCCAACTTTTATCCAAAGTGCTACCGTCAAAATAATTAACATAATTAATAGCATTATATGAACTAAAATTATCAATGTTCTGAAAAACCATATCCTACATACTACATACATATAAACAATATTTTTCCCAATTAACTAAAATTTTATAATTTGTCTTTTTCAAATATGCCACTCAAGTATGTCTCAGGTTGTCCATCCAGAAAGACCATACGGAATGATACAAGGATTTTACTTTACAAAGTTATAACTTTAAAATTACAATTACCAATGAAGCCATTTTAANTGATATATTTCAAGTAATTATTTTTTTGTAAGATCTTGGTAAGTTAGTGCCACGAGCGGGATCAAACCCACGACCTTCGGCTCAATATGCCGCTGCTCTAACTGTGGGTTTGAATCCCGCTTATGACACTAACTTTTTCATCTCAACCAAGACCTTACATAAAAAGAATAATTAATTGAAATAAGTAATTAGACAGCTAAACATAAATGGATTAATATATACACATATAACCATATAATATGTTTCATATGTTCACAGATAAGTGCATTTTTATTTATATGTATAAGTACAAGTAAAATTTTTCCAAAACACTGCTATTTTATTATTATACCTTTTATTTTCATTTTCTGTTAGGATTTGACAGTCCATATTACTTTCAACGGATGGTCAGTTAAACAAGTTAATCAGTGAATAATCATTGCTATTGATAATTATTGATTAATTCTTATCTTATTTGATGAGTGTTTATTTGTAATTCAGTTTGGAGATGTTATGTAATATATCTTTTGAAATGGATATTTTTTCTTTAGTTAATAGAGCTTATATAGGTTTATATTAATCCTTAAGGTATTCATTGGTAAAATGAAACGAGTGGTTACCGAATGCTTCCGCAACCTGTCTGTTCCCACACGATGGAGTGTGGAAACTGTGGAAATCCTAATTAGGCAGTCAACCGCCTCTTGATTTTCTTTATCTAAATTAAATCACCACTTTGCAATAGCTAAAATAGATAACCTTTTGCATTACAAATTTTCGAACGTCAAAATCACAGAAAAAAAGTGTTTTCCATTTGTTACTCTTAAATAGCCACTTGAATGCTTATTGGCTGAGATAAAGTTTTCATAAACATTGATAACTGTGCAAAATATAAACAGAATAATTTAATTTTAAAACAACTTCTTCACCGAGGAAAGGAATTTATTATTGGCCGAATCTCTTCCAGATAACATAAAAATTTATTATTAGAAACTAATACATATCCAGAATTGCTTATAGTAAAAAACACAAATTTACAGTCATGCTAATTCAATTAATAACCTTCACACTAGTAAATTTGACCAAACCATAAAAATACTGCCATTGATTACAAATTACTGAGACTTTTTTTAAATTATTAAATAATAAATTTGTCAAATGGAAAACAGTGGAAGAAGATTGTACTACGTAGATGGTTTGATGGGTGTGGTCAATGTCTGTTACGGTCAGTGAGCACCACACCACACCCATTTTTAACGTTGGAACTTTCGTTTAACCACGCTATGTTTAAACTGTTTATATTTATTTAATCAAATGTAAATAACATATAAATAATAATTATTAAGATTAACAATTAAGAAAATGTATTATTACATTTGTTTTAATAATTGACCATATTTTTTTAAAGTTTTATAAATAATTAAATTATTTTAAAAATGGAAATATTAAATAATGTTTTTAAGTAAACTCTCCGAATTTCTTATTTTGGCTGGCTTAGTCTGCCTGACACATTTTTTATTTCGTTATCTTCACTGATTGGTCTTTTTATTACATCCTGATAATTTTTGAAACTAGTCTAAATAAGCAGACTGGGATGATCGGTATGACCAAGCTATGAACTTTTTTTAGCCTAAAGGAATTGGAACAAAGGTCTCTACTGAGCCTACCAATGTTTTTCTGTCTTGTGACTTCGGTAGCATAATTTTACATTATGTGTAATATCAAATCACATTCAAAATACCTTTCCAGGCACCCTTACGCTTCAGATACCATGGAACAATTTATACAATGCGCCAGTTGTCGCTTCCATAGACAGCCTGTACATCTTAGCAGTGCCCAACAACGCCATGGTGTACGATCCGGTGAAAGACGAGAAGTACAAGCAAGAAGCGAAACAAGAAGAACTGAAATTGGTCGATTTGGCAAAGAAAAGAGAACTCGCTAATGGTATACTTAAATAAACGATTATTAAAATGTCTTAATTAATTTATGTGATTGTAGAGAAAAAGGATGCCAGTCTCGAACAGGCCAGCTTCATCGAGAAGCTGAGTACTCAAATTATAAAAAATGTAGAAGTTACAATTAAAAACATTCACATAAGGTTTGAAGATAAGATGAGTTGCCCCGGTAGAACTTTTGCTCTCGGCATCACCCTGGACACGTTGTCTGTTAAGACAACCACCAACTGGGAACAAAAACTTCCTGCAGATTCTTCAACTTTTATTTTCAAAGTACTTTATAGTTTAATTCACTATTAAAATTGTCATATGGTTTGTAATGCGATTTGTGCTTTTAGGAATTGATTATTAGCTGTCTGTGTCTTTATTGGAATTCGGATATTAAACAGTTATTTTCTCACATCCCCCCTGATGATCTTTTGAAAAATTTTAAGAATGGAATTGCCATTAAAGATTATATTCCTCAAAACTATCAGTATAGTAAGGATGTGCATTTTATTTAATTTATTTATTTTTGTTTTTAACTGAAAATACTAATTTGTTTTATATTCTTCTAGTGTTGGGACCACTCAATGCTTCTTCCAAATTAAGAATAAACCCCAAACCAGAAAATGATAAGTCTGATTTCACTGTATCAAAAATATATTTAACCAGCGATCTGCCAGACCTGAGTGTCAGTAAGTGAACTCAAATGTTGTATCGCTATAAATAAAACAATGTTTAAACACATTCTTTTGCAGAAATCTCCAAAAACCAATTCCAAGACATATTATGTGTAATTGAAGCCGTAGATTTAATGCAGAGGGCGACCAAATATCGGAAGTATCGCCCCAACCTAACAACATACATTGGGCACAGCAAAGAATGGTACTGACGTACCTTATAACATGCCTTTACCATTCTTACTTTACAAATTTTCATAAATTAGGTGGCAGTTTGCGTACACGTGCATTTTGGAAGAAGAAGTGAGGAGGCGACGCAAGAACTGGAGCTGGGCAAATATGAAAGAACACAGAGACTGTTGCAAAGAATATTTGGCAGTTTACAAGGAAAAACTTCAGGCGGCGAAACAAGATGAAAAAATAATATCCGCTTGTAAACAACTTGAAGAGAAACTGGATGTTTTAAACATCATTTTACTCCGGGAGAGAGTCGAAATGGAGGTGGGCGATAACTTTTTTTCTTTATTAACACTGAACTGTTGATTCGTTTTGAACTGAAATAATTAGATAATAATTTTTCCAGGTTTTAAAAGAAGAGAAAAGAGAGTCGACTCGCAGCAGTGGCAGTGGATGGTTCAGTGGATGGTGGTTCAGCAATAAAGACATGCAAATAAAAGATGATAAAGACAATGACCTGTGTAAGTACAGTACATCATATTTAAACACTACTTCTTTATAACAAGTTTTATTTTATAATAAAGTGATCAAGTTTGAAAATGCGATGACAATAGAAGAAAAGAAAAAGCTCTTCCGAGCCATCGGCTATACAGAAGGTGCCCTACCGACTACATACCCTAAGCACTTTGTGAAAGTGGATATTGAGCTAGTATTACACAAACTTCACTTGCTTATTTGCAACTTCGCTTATGAAGATCCTGTAGTATTGAGTGCCAAATTGCAAGGGATCACACTTAAGACCCAACAAAGGGAAAATGCAATCTTGTATGTGTTAATATTAATAGTGTATAAAATTATTTTGACTGAAAGCTTATATTTAGGTGCTTAGCAAAAGTTGGCTCGTTCAACATAACCGGATGTGCTCAAAAGGCCTATACTCCGCAAATTGTGAATACCATAGGAGACACGAAATCAAAAGATCTCCTGGAGGTGTTTGATTCATCATTTATTATAAATTTATTGATTTATTTTTTCTATTCTAATACAAATTTTTTGTAAAGGTTCTCTTCGAGACAAATCCCTTGGACAGTGCTGTTTGTGATAAAAGATTCAGAGTGTCTGCACAGCCTCTCCATGTTTTGTATGATTTATTCACAATTCAACGAGTTTCTGAAGTTTTTCTACCTGCAAAACCTATAGAAGCTACTTCGTAAGTTATTTATTTTGCACTTATGTTATTACAATGTAATATTATATCTACTCTATTTATAGTCTACAGTCTGCAGTCCAAATGAAATTGACTCAGATTAAAGAAATGTCAACAAGTGGTGTTCAACACCTAATTGAAAAACACGAGGTGCTGGAGCTTGACATTTATTTAAAATCATCTGTCATCATCATCCCAAAAAATGGAATTTTAGACAAGTATTTACAAGAGAATTAATTAATTTTTAAAAAAAGTTTAATGAATGTAAAAATAATTTCAGTCCGTTGAAATCACGGGTGGTCATAAGTCTGGGAACAATCAAAATAAAATCAGTCATTTTGGACCGGTCTGAAAATACTTTTAAGAATTTAAGAGCAAAGTATAAAGACGAACTCGCCCTTAAAACTCTTGAATTGCATAGTTACGACCACTTCAACCTCAAACTGACTGAACTACAGGTAAAAAGAAAAACTGCCTTTTTTGTAACAGCGTTTAATTGTTCATTCCCCGGCAGATAGTGCTCGGTCTTGACGGAGAAAATTTGGAAGGAAAGTTGAAACAAGAGATGTATATTCTGAAACCCCTGTCTATCGGTATTGAGATTCAAAAGTGCATCTTGCCCGACGACCCGAGGCTGCCAAGGTTGAAAGTCAGTGGCACACTTCCAGGCATACATTTAAACATAGCAGGTATTATTAAGAAATAATTTGTTCATTTGTTCATACTTAATCTTTTTTCTTTCTTTTTTTTAAGTCATAAGACTTCAGAAGCTTATGGAATTGTTGCTTACACTTTCGCCAGCGACTGAGACTGGAAAAGTCGAGTCAGAATTTGATCCTGTAAAATATTTTACCATAACATTTGCGTGATTGAATAGGAAGTGTGACAGTAATTTAAAATTTTAGGGCATGAAGAGGTGTGTATCATCAGTATCTGTCTTAAGTTTAGGAAGGACAAAAAGTTTTGATTACCGGAGGAAGTCTATAAGAATAAAACCCAAGACAAAGGATGTTGTACAATTCACTGAATTAGTTCTGGATTTTGAACTCAAACGTAAGTTTTCTATTTTATTATTAAAAATAAATAACGGGATATTTTCTTCCCAATCCTATCATGATCATTAGTGCATGTTAGCCGAAAATCAAGAGTTTTTTGTACATTTGATATATTGTAGATATATAGATTTATTTATTTTTTTAAGATAGTATAAATTTCTGGACTACCTGTCAGCAACACCATTATCTGAAAGGATAGAGACCATACCAAGATTCAGATTATTTGTCTGGAAGAATTCTTCCAGACCTTGGGGAGGTGTCTCTGAGGGGTACTCCCAAAATATATTCTTTTAAATTAAAAAACTGGTTGTTTGAGTTCCATAAAAACATACCCGATGTACAATATTGCATGTTAGGGATGGTTTTAAAAAAAGACTTAAAAATTCTTACTTTGCCTGATATATTTTTCTTCTGCAATAACTGAGAAATAACCAAAATACATACTGTTATGAATGAATTGGTTGACAGCCCTTATATGATCCATCATCATCAAAATACATAATTAGTGTTGACAATTTTTTTTATCGAATTCACTGATGATAATTGTAGTCTTCACTTCTGAAGTACCAGAGTACATTGGCTTATATTGAATCAACAGAACAAAATCAAAGAAGCCAGTAAAAATAGTCAGTGGTGGCCAAAATGCTGATCCATCAAATTATATGTCGTAAATTGGGGGCAGAGAGAAAAACGGGAAATTGATCTGTCAACAGGATTTGACTTTCTTACAAATCTGTCATTGGGGAGATAAATAGTGATCCAAGGCTTCACATTTCTGTTTAGTAATCTGATTGACCAAATTTCTTCTTTTAATTAATTATTTGTTTTATGTAAGATCTTGGTTGAAATAAAAAAGTTAGTGTCATGAGAAGGATTCGAACCCATGACCTTCGGTTCAATACGTCGCTGCTCTAACCACTTGAGCTATCGTGACTTCAAAACAATGTTAAATGTTTAAAAACAATAAAAGAGTTGTCTAAGCCAAAGCCAGACACACCTTCTCTAAAACTCACTCACTTCATAAAAATCTAAAACTGGGCTTCCATTTCATGAAAAAATCACTCGTCCAACTCAACACGAGAATTGCTCACAAAACATCATCTCGAGTTAACCATTTCCACAAGGCGAAGGATTTTGCAACATAGAGGCGAAACAAGGTGAGCCATCAGTTTGAGAGAGACAAGCGTATTGTTTCGTACACACCAACTGCTGCATCAGAGTCTGCTATTATGGCGATACTGTTTGTTGTACTTTTTGTCTTGTTATACTGTTATGATGAGTTTTATCGTTAGCATCCCACAAAAATCAGTTGCTTTGATATATTTGGATAAGTTGAAAGCAGTCTTCCTGGTTTGTTCTCATCCTCGAGACAAGTGTTTACACGGGGAGAAACACTGTGCTCTAAAAAACTGACAGCCGGTTGGCTCACCCTGAAACATCTTCACACCAAAAGTTTCACAGTCCAAGCTAATTATCCTCAACTCAAGACAAATTTCGCAAAACAGTTGTGTGAGTGATTTTTGCGCAGTGGAAACCCAGCTTAACAATTTAACAACCCACTCATCTACATTTTTGCAACCAACAACTATCACATTCAACATCGTACTACGTACTCAACACTGGGCACTTACCAAAGACTAATTCTAAACTGTAACTGAATCAAGACCAACTGTAAAGTGTCAGCTCAACTGACTGACCAGTAACTACCCTTTAGCACCGATCTTTTGCAACCCCCCCCCTTAGGTCTCTTTAAGGTGGTTTTATGTTATCCGATGTGACACGTCATGGATGCGAAGCGGTACCCACAAGACAAATATTATTTCAATTGTTTCTGTAGGTAGTAAGTATACGAGGTGTCCCAGTTCCTTTTGACGAAACTCAGGGAATCGATTCTACTCTTCGTTTGGGGCAAAAAATGTCCAGGAAAAATTTTTCGGAAGGTTCTCTATTTTGAAGATATTCATCAATTTAGGTTTTTTCAACTTTTCACTACCTTACCACATAAAAACGCTTACAACTTCCAAAATGTTGAGACTACAACAAATCCAATTACACCATTTGAAAGAACGCTAAATTTGCGGTAAGATACTTCTATTTGCAGTAATCTGAATGACATAAAATGTTAGCCAATAACAGTTGGAACATGTAAAAATTACAAAATTTAAAATTTTGATCATGAATAGAAATAAATCAATTAGAACGCACTTTGTAAAATAAAAATGACACATCTGTAATCTCACAAAAACCATACCAGAAATCTTCATACAATAAAATGCAATGGTTCTTCTTGTAGCAAGCACCTAACAACAAAGGAGGAACTTTTCAGAGGAAATGCAATGCACAAAGTGTTTTCCTTTTCTTTTTACAAAGCGAGTTCTAATTGATTTATTTCTACCCCCCTTCAAATTTACCTTAGCTCACGTTTTAGAACATTCAATTGTTATTTTTCAACTCTACTTGAACATTATTTAAAAACCTGGATATATCAACATAAAGCATATTAGATGAAGTTTTTGTGAAATTTGACAAGTTGTAGGTATTTTTTTGTAACCTCAGTAGAACGTGACCAAAATTTTAAATTTTGTAATTTTGAAATGTTCCAACTGATATTGGCTAACATTTTATGTCGTTTAGATTATTGCAAATAGAAGTATCTTACAGCAAATTTAGCGTTCTTTCAAATGGTGTAATTGGATTTGTTGTAGTCTCTACATTTTGGAAGTTGTAAGCGTTTTTATGTTGTAAGGTAGTGAAAAGTTGAAAAAACCTAAATTGACGAATATCTTCAAAATAGAGAACTACGAAAATTTTCTCTGGAGATTTTTGCTCCAAACGAAGAGTAGAATCGATTCCCTGAGTTTTGTCAGAAGGAACTGGGACACCCTGTATATAACAGATCCGAACCAGTCAGACACGACACATGTCATATATGACTTTCCAACATTCTCGAGAATAATTTTTGTGTGGTGATTAATGAATAAAGGTGGTGATTTAATATATAAAAAATATATTTTGCATTGTATAAATTCACTTTTCCACATTCAAAATGTAATTGTTATATGTAAACAATGTTTGTAAATCCCAGGCCCTGAAGATGATCTCAATAAAGATTGAAACGTTGGCTCGATGAAGAAAATGTTTTTCTGAAACCTACATCACACCAGACCGCATCTCACAATTTCTAAATAAATAATTTTTGTCTGGCACGATCTGTGCAGGTGCCTGTCTGAACTTGGATAGTTTGCAATAACTTCAACTTTCGACTTCCATAAGGACAACTTTTTCAATTATTCAAGTGTTTTTCTTTTTACATTAATTAAAAAGCTTATTGTTCATCGTCCATTAGATTGGGTAAAATGGTCCAAAATTACCCTTTTTTTCTTCCTTTTGGCATAGGATGAACTCCAAAGTGACAACGATGAACGAGCTGCTCATTGATTGAAAACTGATAACACAATCCCAAAAACAGTCACCACAAACATTTCCATGTAGGAACTTGGTCTTGGCTGAACAGTAAATATATGTACTCTGTAGTCTTGTTGAATTCGCATCACTACGCATCTGGCTTCACCGTTTTGCATTTCTTGTGCTTTTCTTTAGAGGGGATTCTCAAGCGTTCAAAGAAGACACAAAATATTTAATACAACGATTTTTACATAATTAGTCATGAGTTACATGTAATTTATTGGTCGGGGTGTAATTTATTTCGCCCTTTAAGCTATTGTATCCCCCGTTCTGTGCCTATAGCACACCGGTGAGTCCTATTTCATCAAGGAACTTGATTAGTAGTCCCAGTTTCAGTGGTTGAATCTCTTCTACAGTCACATTGTACATCCCAAAGCACTTCCTCCTGCAGGAATTGTAGCCCCATAGTTTGTTAAAGGTGTGTTGATGTCTCCTCTGCCTCTTTGCTCTGCATGTGCCGTCTTGGATTACTCCAATCTTCTTTAAATATCCATTTAGCTTTTAAGTTATTCTGTTAGGATTTGCAGTTTTTTCCTGCTTCGTTTGATAATGGCACTTCTTTCCTTCCGAAATTTGTTAAAAGGTTCCTGGATTGCTTGTGTCTGTCCAATGAGTTAATTCCATTGTTCCTTCATTTTCTTTTTGTCCTTCTGTCTGAGGTACTCGTTGGTAGTGTTGGTTCCTTTGCTGCAGAAGGGCTAATGAGTTACATTATCTAATTATCAAAAAAATAGTCTTCTCACGACAGGAGATGGGCAAGGAGACTGCATTAGCCAAGTGGTTAGTATATCAGATTCTTAGTTTCTTTCATGCTCGCCTTCCCTGCAAAAAAATTTAAAACTCAATCAGCATCATAGAATGTTCTCTGGCTAATATGTAAATCATATAACAAAAAAAAAATTAATAAAATAAAAATGGAAAACTACTGGCAGCATTGATTGATCAGTCAAAATATTGTATTTTCAATATTTCAACTGAGTTTTGATTAGAAATTTTTAATATTGATTTTTCTAAATTTTCTACATTTATACATAATTTTTTGAACACGCACCTATAGGACTTAGAAAACTATTTATATTTCATTCATAATAAGAGTAAATACTTTTTTCAGAGTTAACTTTGTCAGTGTTGGATGAGGGAAAACATTTTCTTGACTTCTCAATGAACACTGTTAACCTCGATGTTACTCTTCAAACATACACTCAAATCTTCAGGTTGAAATTATTCAAGATAGAGATGATTCAGATGTACAAGAAAGAACCGTTGAAAGTTATACAAACGTCTAACTTAGGCATCAACAAAAATTACCTATTTTCAGTGGAATATATAAACGTAAATTTCGGTGTGTCAAGTATACCGTGATGTACTTCAATTAATCTAATCGATCATTCAGGTTGACAAACATTCGCCAGAGTTTCATACAGTCTACGGCTCAGTGATGAGGACGATCAAAGCCGATTTTACCGGATTGCGCTTCTACATGCACTGTGAAGGCTTACTGGAGTTGGTCGCTCTTTCTAAAATAGTGATGCCCTCAGAGTTACCGAGTAAATCTAAGGTACAGTTTATTAAATTTTTATTGACTAATAAATTATTTGAAACCATTGTACATTCATTATTCATTATTTCAATAGTCACAAATACAACCTACTCTCCAGAATATAGAAGAACGAGGTGCAAACGCTGTGAAGAAACCAGTAAAGCATGCATCATCTATACACAAAGCCAATAGTAAAAAATATATATATTGTTATTGATTCAATCTTTAAAAAATTATATGGTTTTTAGTACAAAAAAAAGCATCATTTATAACCAGTGATGCTATCGATCTGAAGATAGAACTTCAAGCTGGAGAAACTTCGATAACCCTTGCTACAGTGAAACAACCAATCATGGATCTTCAGATTTTAGGAGGTCACGCCGGGATCACTCTAAGACCAGCATACACACAATTTACTACTCAATTAAACGGCATTAATCTTATAAATCTTACTTCCACATCTTCATATACCAAAGTGAGTAATTAAATCCAAGATTTTATTTCTGATTTATACTAACCTTTCCATTCTCCTGATGCATCCCCTTAACACTCGGTGAATTCTTTGTGAAATATAAAAGGATGTAAGTTGCATTATACGGCAATAACAAACAAATTAGCTTACTATAAACATGGCATATTTCAGATCATAAGTCTGGTCAGTGATAAGGAATCGTTGAAAGCGACTTTAGTTCTGTTCAATGAACACCCAATGAATGTCAGCAATGTCGATATAAAACTGACGGCCAAGGTTTCTCGCTTGCGTTTTATATTTATTAAAAGTTTCTTGGACCGAGTCGTGGTACGTAATTTTTCTATTCGATAAACAAGACTAATTTTTGAAGATTTATTTTGATCTGAAATGTCTTCCAGAACTTCATGAACCACTTTCAAGATGCCGAACAAGCGTTTATCGAGGCTTCGCAAGCTGCTGCAGAAGCTGCGAAGCAGAACGTCCAAGTGGTCTATCAGAAAGCGACCAAAGTGGAACTTCAAATAGATCTACAGGTTTTATTTAGAATATTATTTATTTAAATTATTATTGTTATTTTTTCTGACAACTTTGTAGGCACCAATTATATATGTTCCTATAAACGAAGAATCAAACGAAACTTTCATACTTGATTTTGGATCTTTAAAAGGTGAAAATTCATTTTTGGAAATGCCGACGAGCAAAGACTTTTCACAACCTGCTATTCTCGATCGAATCCGACTTCAACTGGATAATCTTAAACTGTCAAGGTAAATGGTATTTTCTTTTTTATTAGCTCTGATTAGGGGGCCATGATGGCCAAGTGGTTAAGGAGTCTGACTCATACTTGCCACGTGATCTCTTGTGAGAATAATATGAAAAATGTGTAAAGTGGTTTGACCCCTCATACACGATACCTAATTAAGCCCCCTTGTAAGACAGGAATTACATAACTTACTTATGTTGATAAAGAAGAAATCGACCACGACGATTAATGTGTTGGGGATCTAGTTTCTAGTCAGGTACCAGGACTAGAAACCAGATCCCAAACACATTAACTTACTTAGTCATCTCTGATTATTGAAATGACCACAAATAATTGATTTTACAAACAAAAATTAACAACTTGATAGTCGATGTTTGCTCCGAGTTTGGAAGATAATCATCAAACCTCCACTAAAGTTCATTAACACTTTCAATCCGATGGGCCATAGACTTGACTGGTGTCCCGACCCATTTTGGCGTCCGTCAGTACAGCTGGCTTAACATTGCTTCAATAGCGTTAAATAAAATTTTGTAAATCGGCAAAAACGTTTGCTATTCTGTGTAGAAAAATAATATCCTATTTTCAAAATCAATACAATAAGGTAAAAGGCATGAGTAGGTGCTTAAATTAAAATTCAACATTGTGATTTTTTTTATCACTTAAATAATATAATTTTCTTGTATTTATACTTTAAAAATATTATATGGGCAATTAAAAATAACTTAAATAGCTAAACTGGTTAAATTAATGATTATGCATAGGACCATCCTAATAAAATTTATATTATAAAACAACTAATAAAAAAATAACACGCAATAAACAAAAATCAACAAAATAATGTAACAAAAATATAAAACAAATAACATAATAAAAAATAAAATATATGTTATAAAACAAACAATTTAATAAAAATAGATTACAATTAATAAAAATATTTATATTATGCAAACTTTATATAATATAAAATAATAAAATTAAAGTATAAAATTAATGTAATAAATATGTTATATACACATACAGCACTACCTACATATGATTTAACCAAAATGTCAAAATTAGGAATGTCAAAAAAATATTTTTCAATGTATAAAACTTATTAACTGGGGAAAAATAAAATTATAAATTTTTGTAGTTACTAATTGTTGAAATAGTTTTAGTCTTAGAGTTTTTTTTTTTACTCCATAAAGTTTCTTTTTTCTAAAAAAGCAGGACATCAAGAAGAAACAAGAAATGATAAAACCTATTTTCTAATAAAACACTGTTAGATAAAACATTTAAAATAGTTGAAAGTTTAAAACCATAACTTACATAAACAGAATAAATCAGTTATAAAAAAGTATTTACCAAGCTGTTATTAATTTTTCTATATTTTTTACGTACATAATTATAAATGTGCACTTTGTCACAAATGAAAATTATGGCAACACTTGTTTATTCCCATGATAAACTTTAAAAAACAGAACGCAATTTAGGATAAAGTAGATAATAGAAACAGCAAAAGATTATTTTTAAATTATTTTGAACTAATTCTTAAAGTTATTTGGGATTTTATTTAAGTTTGTATAATGATGAAAGCTGTATTACAAGAAAATTTAGCTTTTTTTTTTTGTTACAACACTTACCTTATTAACAATCTGTGAAATGAGGGTCATTAGTCGAACTCCGCTCTAAAATGAAGCCGGTGGTGATTGGATCTGAAAACAGTGAACACAGATCGAAAACAGACACTCAAATAGACCTAAGTGTAGAAAACGCAGGGAATATGTAAAAACCCAGACGCACCACAAAATAAAGAAAGGGCCAGCGGCTGGTGGGTTTTTGGGCTTGCACTACCGAGCACCCCATCGAGCTGATATTGTTAAAAATTTAACTAAATGATATTAAACAAATGTTTGAGGGGTGTCGGTGGTCGCAACAGTTTAGGTGTTGACACAGCGCTCATCACTGTAAGGTAAAGATCTTGGGTGGTCCAGCAGCCCTGTATTTGAACCGGACATACTTAAATGGGCTTTTTTTTTCAAAAACACCAGAACCCTGAGGGTTCATATAACCTCCTAATTTTTATACCCTTGTAGGAAGGAAAAAAAAAATATATATATATATATATAAAAGTGTTTGAAAATTATTTGACTAATTTTTTTTATTTGTACTATTTTCATAGAGCGACCATAGATGAAAATCTCAGTTGTGTTCAAGAAATTTCAATGATTACTCCTATTACTTTCAAAATGTCAATCCAGAGGAATCTTTCATCAGCGTGGTTTTCCGATATACCAGATCTTGAAATTGCTTGTGTAATTCAGACGATTTGCGTAAGTAATCAAATTGAATAAAATCAATAACACCTATTAATCCAATTTAAACTACTCAGATTTGCATCACACACTCGGACTATGTCAATCTTATGAAAATGATGGATGAAAATATCTTTTCTGTCATGCCGGAAGATACTCCGACAAAGGTTTTTCCTTCAGTAGGAACATTCGGCTGTAATATGTCCACTTCAAGCAAAGATTCTATGTGGCAATACATGGAGAAGCCATCTATGCCTGCCTTAGATGGTAATGTAACAAAAAAAATCTCTTTTCCTAATACTTAACATCATGCAGAAAAATTGAACGTTTTATATTTTTAGATAATGAGAAGATTGTAACGGCTAGCCCTGATGAAAATCTGCGGATGTCAATGAAGTTTCTATGTAATGTAGATGAAGTTGTAGTTAAAATTTTGGATCCGCATGACTCTGTAAGGAAAATTCACAAACTTCTTTAGGAGTACTAAGTAAATAATGTTTCGTTTTTTGTTAATGTTTTTTTTTTTAAAGACTGGTTCAGGCGAGTTGGCGAAGATTTCCTTGAATGTTATTTCATTAAAAGGATCCATGCTTTCTGACAACTCGCTTCAGTTATCTCTACTTCTCCTCGATTTGATCATGGAAGACACTAGGCAGTCCCAGGCGAATAAAATCTGCAGGTACATGCAGCGTAAAAAAGAAGGTCACACAACAGCCGTTCGAACTAAAGTCCCTGGCACTACTGAAACTTCAATAATAGAAAGCACAGAAGAAACTTCTAATAAAAGTATGGTTGACATAATCTACCAGCAGAAAAAAGAAGCAATTTTCGGTAATGATTTTTTATTTTAATGTTAATGTTAAATGTAGCACATGCTTTTTTGATAGGGTCTGGCATTTGGGCTTGCTTTATAAACTTAAACACCTCTTACCCACTCCTTATCCTGATTTAATCAACAGCTGGTTCAGTGAGGTGCAGCAATGAGTTATCATAAATCATACCAATACAAGCCAGTGTGGCACAAGAGAGCATCCTCGGTCCCATCCTTTATATCATTTAGTCAGCTGACGTACACACCCCAATTGCAGCATCACCTCCTACACAGACGATACCGCAATTTTGACCTTTAACTTAATCCTATCCAAGCTATCACGAACATCCAAAAACAGCTTGAACATATCAAAGACAATTGTGAAAAGAAGAGAACAAGTCTTAGAAAAATGTACTGAGTATACTGTTCACATTGAAAAAAGTCTTAACCCCCCCCCCCCAGTGTACATAAACAACATACATCTGATTTTCATTTGAACCAAATATTTCAGAAAACAGACTGTCGTGAAATCCCCAAGACTTAAGAGAGAATAAGGCTTTGATAACTAACACCATTTCTAGAACCAAAATTTTGACCTTATGCAGACTACTGGGACCAACCACTTTGTACATACGGAATGAAACTGTGGGGTTCTATCAAGCCATCCAACATCCAACTCATCCAATACTTCCAATCTAAAGTCCTCGGACAAATCATTAAAGCTCTTTATTGTATCACTAAACTCACTATCCACAGCGACCTCGACCCTTTCTACCGTACTGCTCGAACCCTCTTCACACATTCCCATTCCGAGAGCCTGCCGTCACTCTTGTCGACAATAGCCTCGAGACCTCCCTGTCCATTTATTTAACCATTTTTTCCATTCTTGATCTAATTCAATTGAAATAAACTCACAATCGTTTATATAATATGTAATTTAACATGTTTTTAATATCTCACATCATGTTATGCGGATTTGACCTTACATTCTCAAATATTTTCGAAACAATTGAAAAGCCATCCACCATTGTTGCCTTGACCGATGACCTTTCGACCTTGCTCCTTATTCCCTCACACTGAAGAATTGGCTGGTTTCTCATAGCATGTGTCCTCTTGGTGCAGCGCTGGCCTTAGTCATGCTGAACTGACATTGGGTTTGTTGACATTCACTCGAGGGTTTGTTGAACTACTCAAATGCGTTTAAGTAAGTGCCCCATTAGTACTTCAGCATGAGGCCACTGACTCGCAAATCAGCAGGCCTTAATGTTTGTGTTGTGACCAAATGAAAAACAATTTTGTGATCACATAATATACTAATATTTATTGGCTACAAATAAAAACATTTAAAAAAAATTATATGTTAGATTACTACTTTTTACTCCTTATTACAGCAAATGTTCGAGTGTGTTCATTTGTGCTGATATTGAATGTGGAGCACTTGTTGAAAGTTGCGGCCGTGTTTACACTGCCACCATCTTCTACTCCTGCGCCTAAACCAAAGATTCCATCATCTATACCTGATCCTGGAAAATCTTCGAGAGTGAGAAACTGTTATAAATGTAAAATGAGATTGAAACGAAAATAACAAATTCTATAAAATTTCAGATAATTGAACCAAAAGAAAGTACAAACTTGTTGACTTTCAACTTCAAATGTGAGCATCCTGATATAATACTCGTCGAGCGTTTAGACGACATCGATACGAACGCTTTAGTTATGCATGTATGGATACTTCATTGATAAATTCAGAGTCGATGTTTAACTTGTTTGTGTCATAGTGTGAGGTGCAATTTAAGTGGAGGATATCAGGCAGTCATCAGACAGTATCAGGATCGATAAATGATTTGCAGCTGTTCTCTTGCTGTTACAATCCAGAAAAAAGGAAATCCACAAAAATACCCGTATGTACTATCAATTATAATTCACATGATATATGTCTAACTTGAAATTTATCCAAAGATTATAGAACCAGTTTCGATTATTCTTGCTGGAACTACACCCAAGAATTCAGCACTTCATGTTGATTTGAGTTCTACCAACATCAGAGTGTCTGTCACGCCTGGTATGAAATAGCGTGAAATACACAGTATTAAAAAATTAATTAATTTGAAACCGAACTTTAGGGACAATTCAACTTTTGAGCAGCATTTCATCGGCTATTACCGGCAGTACAATTGAAGAGCAGTCTGAAGTTGTGGCATTCGTTGACCGCACTGATATGTGGGACATACAGAAATTTGAAGACACTGATTACCATTTCTTAAAAACAGGTTTTAATTCAAACAAAAAATTAAATTAATTATTGTTTAATAATTTAATCATGCTTCCAGAGCTCGGTGTCGAAGCAACAGACACCCACACATTTTACAAGAGCATAGAGCCCGAACCGAAATCAGAATTATGTGTAGTTTACTTGCCATCAATTGTCTTTGTTCTCGAATCTGGTGTCGGTATCACGACAATGCCCGTATTACATTTTGAAAGCGCGATCAGAGCCTATGTCCGAAATTGGAGTTCATTGGTAAATTAAATTTACAGTTTTATTGGACACAAACATTTTAATGCAAATTTTAGTTAAACATAGAGAGTAATATACATCTTCAAATATCATATTTCAACCATACTTTGGCCCTGTGGGAACCTATATTAGAACCTGTCGAAGAAACAGATGAAGGAGGAATGACGGAGTTTGCTCCTTGGGGTTTATCCATTCAGGTCAGTCCTTACATATTTTATTTTTAATTTATTAAATAGACATGAAGATGTTATGTAATTTATTAAATCAATTCTTGTTACACCGTTATTCAAACTGGTAGAGGAACTCTGTCATGACAAAACAGGTGAGAGTGTGATGTTGCCCCCATCGGACTGTAGCATTTACATAGTGGGATTGCATGTGATTTAGAATGCATTTGGTGCTCTACCTACTTGTCTGCACCTCCTTCCTCAGCGTGGGTAACAGTCTAGAGGGTAATGAAAAGGCAGACAAGGCGACTAAGGCTAGACCATCCCAAACCACTGTGGTCCAGTCCTCTGATGCTAGAAATGCAATAAATAGCATGAAAATAACAGAATGTGGCAGCGTGAGTAGAACGGATTCTTGGATGAGAGAAGCTCTCATTTATAAAGAGCACTGTGACCGGCGCTCGTAGGATCTGATTCTTATGTCGTCCTTACCCGATTAACAATAGGCCATGAATGGTTGATGCACAGACGTACTTTCAGGGAAAGCTTGCTTGATGTGTCTCACTATTCATTTGCTGCTGAGAAAGTAGGAATGCCACTGGTTAATAGAATTGTCCTTGAGCAAAGGTACAAATACTTGTCTTACGAGTTTTGGAGAAAACAGGGCTGTTTTCAACATAGTACTGATATATTTCTTGTTGTGTGTTCCATTTTTATGGAGACTGAATGTATTTATTAGCATGAATGTATAGCTGAGAGGGCTGAATGGGTTTGGAAGAACTGATTGCATTGGGTGCTGAAATCACATAGCTGTTGTTAGCCCCAGGAGCCAACAGCGGCTGGATGAATAAGACCGAGGTCTGATTCCGGACTGCCAAAACTTGAGGTGGGCGATTTTCAAGGCCTGCCGGTAGTTTATTGTAAATTACAGAAAATCTGGAATTGCCGGAGATCTACGAACACTGTTAGGTCTGGTACACACGGCGGCGATCAGTTTGAGACACAAAAAGTAATCTTGGCGACTAGAGTCAGTCGCCGCCCCTTCATCTCTTCTCGATCCTCTCTGGAATAATGGATGAGTTAGAAGCTGTAGTTTTTTGGCATTTAATTAGACGCAAAACAAGTAAAAATAGAGCATTTTCTTTTTTAACTTTATCCTCATAATCGTGGTCAAAAATGTCACTTTTATCCATTTTTTAAAATTCCTAAGAATGTGTTTGAAAACAAGAGGAGCGATCTGCTTGACACAGTATGAACTGTGTGAATGACATCATCCTGTTCAATGTCCCATCAGTTACCTTCGTACAGAAAAAGTGTCAAAAGACTTTACATCCCAACGAGTAAAAATTGGTATCTCATACCGATCGCCTAGTAGTCTCCCCATCTGAATGGCCATGTAAGTCCCTATGGTACATTGGTCTCCTCGATACCAATCTCTCATACCAATCGCCTCCATTTTAACCGGGCCATAGGCCTAACTCTGCACACACGAGTGCAGATTTGATCTTATTTAATTCAATAATGAGTAATTTAATTAAGTAATTCCAACAATGCTATGGCTTTTTTTCTACCAAAAATATTATCTAGTGTTATGGTCTACTGACAAGTTGCAATTTATCATTTAAAATATTTCAGGTGGAAACTAATAAAATAAACCCGACTGCAATACCCGACCCAACAGACGTGGCACTTGATAACATGGGAAAAACTAAGCCAGCTATGTACATTCATGTTACATCAAAGGTATTTCTTGTTCCTGTGCTTAAAAAAATAAAATTATAACAAAAACAAAAGAAAAAAATCACTGATGAAACGCCATTTTCTATAGGAAGTATTGCCGTTGACACTGACAAAAACATGCCTGAATGTATTAAATGAATTGAGCATCAATTTCAGTGATGCGATTTACAAACCAACAGTTTCTTCGGGAATGAGGCCACAGTATGTCATAGTGAATGATAGTGGCCTCGTAGTCACTGTCAAACTCGATCATTCAGAGTTCAAGGTATTTATTGGAACTATTCTTATTTTGGCTATGGATAAAAGTTTTTATTTAGATCTGGGGAGAGGGAAATGAAGATGTTAAAGAAGTTATACTAGACCCTGGTGCTAACCTTGATTTAGCATTGAGAAACATGGGTTCAGCTGTCTCATCGCCTGCAATCTTTACTTCTACCAAAGCAGAAATGCACGGCCACACCATCGACATATTCGTACGTTACGACAGATTGATAAGCGAAACATTATTTAACTGTATACATTGTCTTCAAACAGGTAAACGATTACAAATGTGACTTGCGCGTCCCGATTTCAAGGGCGGATAAAAGATACTTTTCGCTCAATTATCGCGGCTTGAGTAATGATACCTGGGGTTTAGTATCTGCAGTTGCCATCCAGAACGGCTGTACCACTGCCACCCTTAGAGGAATAATCCAGGTACTTAAATATATTTGGTGTATGCATAAGTTTTTTACCCCCCCCCCACGAATTTCAACTTTCATCCTTTATTACCCACTAGCCCCTTTAGCTCTAGGATGGGAAAAGCCCTACTGAAAGAGATTAAGAAAGGGCAGTTGATTCTAAAAGTCAGTCTAGAATAAACCATGACACGTACGACGTGAACGCAGATAAAATTCATACAAGTTCAATCTCGGGCATAGAACGGTAGTTGTCCATCGAAATTTATGTGGAATTACGATATTATACTAACTGAACGTGTGTGTTAACAGTGGTTCCAAAGTTTTCATAATGAAGAGAGACAAATTAAAGACCAGCCTCATTGTGGTAGGCATAACGATCTTAAAAGCAACGACTTATTAGGTAAATTGTAGGATGAAGACAAATAAACTTTAGTAGAGCTGTCAGCAGTACATCACGCAATAGAAAAAATAATCTGAACTCTGGGTTACGATGTAAAACTCTATGGGGGACCAATAGATCATCCCTTAGGAACAAGGAAGACGACTTGTTGCATTTTCTGAACAGGAATAAATCAGAAGGATTTATTTCCTATTGGTCATTTGGGATGAGAAGTGGGTCACTTACAAAAATGTTCAATGCTGTATGACGTAAGAAAAAAAAATTATTGCCGAGTCGGATTGCCCCCTCGTAATGTCATATTGACTGTTTGGTTGGATATTCAATTGTTACCATCCAACCAAACTATTACGGCAGAGGTACATTGCCTAGCTCGAGTGTCTTGGGGTCAGCCTTAAAGGAAAAACGTCCAGCCATCATGAATAGACGCAGTCTTGTTTCACCATGAAAATGCCTGGTGACACACAGCTGTACTCATTCTGAATAAAATCGCCCAACCTTCTTGCTCTCAAAACCTTGCTTCTTCTTATTTTTACTTGTTCCGCTCTTGTTACTTAAAAGAAAGGGAATTTTTGAAAAAACGCTCTGAAAATCGTACTTGAATTTTTGTTTTAATAAAAACCAAAAAAACTTATGCACACACCCAATAATTTTCCCTCCCAACTAGTACTGATAGAAACTATGTTAGATCAAAAATGGCTTCAACGTCCCAGTTTCCATTTACTACATGACAAAAAAAGGAAATGAAGTCAGCTATGTAACGACCATCAATCCCAACACTAAGCTCAACCTTCCTCTAGAAGCTATATACACACCGACAAGTGAACTGTTTTTCAGTTTTGAAGGGTGAGGACCAAAAATATTTTAAATTTAAAACAATTTTTTAATATAATTTTTTTTTTATTAGATATTCAGTTTCTGTTGTGCCGTTTCTCTGGAAAGATCTACAGCAGTCTCTCCATAAGACAGTCATAATGCAATGTTACCCAAAGAATGTAGAAGATAAGGATCCTCTATTTTTCAGGGTAAGTTTATAATAATAAATTAAAATGCAATGTCTAATGTATCCGTTTATTGAATGATTTCAGGCAACCGGGGAATTGGAGCAGATCTACTATGAGAATACGAAAAAGCATACGATGGCGAGCGCCTGCTATAACATTACCCTGCGACCGACTGTGATATTCAAAAATCTTCTACCAATTAATATAGAAATCATAGTCCAGGGCCATGACCGTCCTTCAGACGCCCCTCCGATAGTTATACCGCCAGGTCAGACCATTCAAGTGCCAACTGCCGAACCAGGATATTCTTCACTCATCGTCACGGTAAATTCAAATTTTCATATTCTGTAACTGTAACATAAACTTAACATATGGTTAATTTTTTCAATCTTTGACTTTTATCTTTTGTTTTTTGTTTTTCTTTTGTTAGGAACAATTGTGTCACTCTAATAAAAATACATTTACCAGCTGTTATGATATAATTAATTGTGCATACAAGCTTTTTTTACTGAAAATAGTAATATACTATTTCACTGTCATGGCACTGACCCTTTATTTAAACTAAAATTAAAGTGAAAAGAAGTGTAAAATAGGTCTATAACCTATAATAATCTATAAATTCAATGGACATACAGTGTCTTTTCTCCTGTGGATAGACCTAATCTCTAATACTCATGAGCCACACCAAGAAAACCTTATTAATAAATAAGAACTTTATTTATTTTGAGATTTCTCCATGGCATATACAGGATGGAACCTGTAGTTTCACCATTTCTAATATTTGGAATGAAAATTGTAATTTGTATTAGCACGATTAGCATCCCAGCACTGTTCCAGTTTCTCAACTGTTGGCTTGATCCGATGGGGTTCCAACAGCCGGTCTTCGCTGGTATGAGCCCTTGGTCTTGACTAAAGCCTTCTCAGGTGGTTGCCTGGGTTTAGTCTTCATTCTTGACTGCTTTTTTTTATACTAGTTTCTCTACTGGAGTAGTAGGGATGGAAATGAAAATCAAAAGTCAGGAGAGTTACTCACTGCGGGTGGACCAGTGAACCCAGGTGTCATGCACCTGGTTGACATGACCCCAGTTTACGCTAGTTCAACATCTCTACATATTTTTGACCTTGTGACAACCTTTCATCACTAAATAAGTCGATGTTAGTTATTTATTTGATCGGTTGTCCAAAATTGCAACTTTGTTTTCCAGATTCGAGGGACACATCACGTTGCTCCCCTATGATCTGTGACACCCTCGACATTCTTATTTATTTGATCAACTGTGGAATTGCAGAGCTGTTTCCCTGGTTTTTGAGGAATGTCATGTCGCTCCCGACTGCTTTGATGCCTTTTGACCCACTGTTTAATTATTGTAGAGTTAAGGTCCGGGACAAAAAGATAGCCCACCCAATATTTTTTCTCTTAATCAATTTTAACCATTGATATAATTATTTTTTTTTATTAATATGTAGTGTATTTTGAACAGATTTTCTCCATTAGGAATTGGGAAAAAATAATTTGTAAGAATTAATAAATAATACTTGATTTTGGGTGAGACAAAAAGATAGCACAGTGAACAATAATTATAAAATTCTTTATTAAAATACAATTAAAATAACACAAATTAAATTTAATATCCTGTATATGCACCATCTTTTTCTAATGCAGCAATCATATGATTTAAAAGCGAGTCAAAATGACGACGAATCACCTCTTGTGGAAGTTTGGCCCACTCCTCCTGAATTGTTTTTTTCAATTCTTCAACGCCCTGTAAACACTCCTAGCAAGATGCCCCCATACATTTTCGATGATATTAAATCTATAATCTATAATAATGATCCTTTCTTTTCTAAAAAATTCTTTTGCAACTTTTGCCTTGTGAACTGGAGCATTATCTTGCTGAAAAATTACGTTCTCTTTAGGAACAAGTTCAAAATATTTTTTTAATTGGTTTTCTAACAAATTAACATATTGTTGGCTGTTCATTCGACCAGAAATAAACACAATATCAGTTTGGTGATCATATGACGCTGCCTCCTCCCATTTGCATCTTAGAAAACACTTTCTCATAGGTCATGGTAATAGTGAGCCAAGCCGTAGGGACCGTCGGATTGAATTTTTTTTCATCGGTGAACAGGACATCCTTCCATTCGTCTTTCCATTGCACATGTTCACGGGCAAACTCCTTTCTTCTTTCTTTATGCGCCATGCTTAGAGGTGGAATGCCTTTCATTTTCATTCTTTTGTTGTGAGGAGCTGCACGAATGATCCTTTGGACGTTTTTCACATTCGTCACTACACCAACTCCCGCAGCAATTTGATGGGCCGTTAAAGTTGAGTTGGATGCAACCCTTAAAATTGCCCGTTTTTGCCGTGTTGTTAAGGCCGGTGGTCTTCCAGGAGATTTCTTCGTCCCATAGATTTCTGGAGACTTCAAAAAATTTACAATTACTTTCCTACTCCTACTGGTATTTTTTGAAATACTGGAAATTCAAAATCCTCGATTTTTCATTCGCTGAATGGTATTTTTTCAGCTGGTGTTAATGGTTTTGCTCGTCCCATCGCTCTAATATATACGAATGCAGAAACTGAACTGAATTAGCCTTGTTTACTCAGAGGGATTTGGTTTTGTTTGTAAATAAACAACAAGTGTGCTATCTTTTTGTCTCACCCTAAATCAAGTATTATTCATTAATTCTTACAAACTATTTTTTTTTTTCAGTTCCTAATGGAGAAATCGGTTAAATAAAAAAAATTATATCAATAAAAAAAATTATATCAATGGTTAAAATTGATTAAGAGAAAAAATATTAGGTGGGCTATCTTTTTGTCCCTTATGTTTCCCAGATTGGATTGTCTGGATGTTCACCCCTTCAGATTCCCCAAATCATTCTAAGACGGGGACCGGCTAACTTCACGAAAGTGTATTACCTCAGCTTGCACTTCTGAAATCAGTTTTGCTGTTGCGATGTAATAATGACTCAAATAGATTTGGCGTTTGTTTTAGCCAGGTTGGTCTTTGCCAACATCGTACATGTAGCCTTAGTAGTGATAAGCACAATTATTAATTATTATAAATTTTAATCTAACAAACAGTTCTCATCAAATATACTATATGATTCAAAATAAGTGGTAGAAATACAGCAATCATATATCGAGCACTTGTTCAGTTTTGACTCCTGATAACTTTTTTTTTTTGGGGGGGGGGGTTTATTAATCTTTTTTTTAATTAGAAACCAATGTTAAAATGAACTATTAAAAAATCATGTTTTGTTATAAACTATTTAATAGACAAAACAAGCATATACACCTTAAGTGAAAACTAGAAACAAACAAATTAACGTGTGTGGTTGAACAATTCTACAAACTTAAATTCACTAATTTCGTGGTCCGCTTGACCAATTAAAAAATGGCAAAAAGGAGGGAAAATTCAAAAGGTGCGGTTGAGATGGGAAGTTGGTGTCCGAATGGATCGAGGTCACGATAGCTCAAGTGGTAGAGCAGCGGCGTATCAAGCCGAAGATCATGGGTTCGAATCTACTAAAAACCCAACTAAAAACCTTAATAAATTGTAAATTCTACAAACTACTACTTAGCACTTGCTGATGCATCTGCAGATTAAATTGGCACAAAATCAATCATTATCTACAACATTTTGTTTTATTGAGAACCATGGTGACGTCTGACTCGTATTTGCCATGCTTGCTGTCTGGGTTCAAATCCCAGCACAGCTCATGAAATTTTAATTGTAAATGATATCTAAAAGTTATTATAAAGTGATTTCATCCCTCATATGCACCCCTGATGGGTTCTGTTCTTAGCTCTATGGGACATGAACTTTGGCTTCCTTGATAGTAGACTGTCAATCTGCTCTATCATTGGCTACCGTTCTTCACCCTCTGACTCCTGACTTTCTAAGGTCCCAACCCACTTTAGCCTCGGCGTTCCTCTAGACAACTTCCACCCTGCATCACTTTTTGGGGAAAATATATCTCTTCATCCTGGTTAAATGTACTAACCATCGTAGCATTCTGGGCTTTATTACAGCACTAAATCAGGCATAAAGTTCCATCAGTTCTGCTTTTGTTTTTTTTCTCCATTCATTTTCTATTTTGACCTGGCCAAAGATTTTTCTTTCCCAGGTTTTTACGTGAAATTCCTCCTTTTAGAAAGCACCCAAAGCTTCTGAGGCTTAAAGCACTTCCTCAGTACTGACTTGTAAATCTAATTTTCAGTCGTTTGGATCTTGTTTTTAAAAAGAATATGCAGGGTTGAATAACACCTCTGCCTGCAAACAATCTTGTGCCAATTTCCAATATTTTATTGGCTTATATGTCCCTTTGACGACTACTTCATCAACATAGTTCAATTACAACATCAATAGCTCCTTCTTATTATTTATCACTTCTATTTTCCTCACTGCCATTTCTAGTGCTATACTGAAGAGGATAGAGGGCATGGGATAATCTTCATGCCTGTGTTTAATCTGTCAGGCGAGATTTTTTACTGCCATCCAGAATGCTTGCTCAGCTTCCTTTTGGGCCATTTTATCAGTGTCTGGTCTTTTTTTGAGTAGCCCACCTCAAACATACATTTTATGGTAGAGTTCCTATTCACGCTGTCATAATCTTGTTTAAAATCTATGTACAAGTGATGAATATTTACATTTTACTCAAAGCACTTTACTAAAATCATCGTTATCGTGAATGTATGATCTAATGTTTATCTGTTGGGCCAGAATCCACACTGATATTCGCCAAGTATGTGTTCCCTTTGAGATGAGGCTTGTGAGAATTTTATAATGGACGCTAAACAATGCTACAGGCCTGTAATTATAACACTACCAAATCACCTTTTTTTATGGATAGGTATTATTAATCAAACCTTTCCAGTCTTCTGGCATTTTTTTCTTTGGTCCACATTTCCAAAAATCATAAATATTTTTACAAGTTCTACACCCATTAGGTAGTTGGATGTTAGTCCTCTTGTATCACATGAATTACTTTATTTATTTTTTATGTTTTATTGAATGAATTTATAATTTTTACCCCATAATTATGCTTGCATTCTGGTTTCAAATTATAAGACATTTTCTACATCTACAAAAATCCTGCAGACTCCATGTCACAATAAGTACATTGACAAAAAACATACTTTTTCTCTTTTTTTTTTCTTTCTTTTCCTTTCAATCTCACTTTTTAAAATAATAACAAAACTAAAACACGTTATAACTATATTATACAAGAAAGTTAATTAAGTAGTAAGTTTTCTTTTCATTAATTTTTTTTGTATATAAATAAATGCATTTCTTTTATGCATAGATAATTCATTTTCTTCTTTACATTTTCAATAGCTTAGATATTTTTCAGTTACCTGATTATCTGGACCGGGACTGGTGCTGTAAGCATAAAATCGAAGATAACGCTGATGACCTGACAGTCTGGACATTTGAATCGTATGAGAACATTCAGAAAGTGACACTCGACCTCGGAATCCACACAACGGACGTCCGCGGTAGCATTCTCATGGAGCTGTACTGCCCGTTCTGGATGATAAACAAGACCGGGCTGATATTGTCGTATAAAGTATGGGGAAAGAAAACAATTTAATTTTATTCATTTATATTAATAGTCTTATAGTTGATAGTTAAATAACACCGATTGGAAATTTTCATATTTATTATACTTTTATCTTTTTTATCTGTATAGCGCTCGAGCAAGGGTGACAAAGATACAACTACAGATGAGGTATTCCTCACCAAAAATTTCATTGCATGAAGGAAGCGGGCTATTTTTATTCACCTTTTTTCTTAGGGTTGCAAGATTTTTTTTAATGACAATTAATCTAGAGAAATTTAAAAAAAAATCATAACAGCTTTACTAAATCATTAGAATTTTTAAAAGTATGGTGATCGTCATTCCTTTTATTCCTTGGCTGATCAGAATGTAATGTCAGTTTTTCCACTGAAATTAAGGTCATCTTGTTCGAGTAAATTTTTATTTATTAATTATTTGTATTTATTATATATTTAAATTAAATCTTTTTAAATATTATATATTTACCATTAAAATTCTTACATTTAATTTTTTGTAAAGAAAAAATAACACACTCATTCGAAACTAATTCTTTAAAAGAAACAAAAATATATTCACTTATATATAAGAACCAAATTATCAGGCTTGGTTTTCTATGTCGCTCTTGATCATCTTGTATGATCTCTTTGAGTCCTCATGAGCCCCTCAGAGATCTCTCTGGCATCCTTCTGGTTCTCAAACTCTTTCGAGATCTTCTGGAGTTCTAACTTGATGAAAACAAAAAATGTCTGGAAAACCAATTTTTCTTTTCGCAAGCTCTCACCATCTCTCTGTCTTGTCTGACTGGCCCTTCTCCTCTCAAGCACTCTGGCTGGGCCCCTGCCTTTCTCTTGTTCTGCGTCCCAATTGGCTGAAGTGTTTCATATTGTCTGCCATCATTGTCCAGCTTTCAGTTTTCTTATGGGGTCCTCTGTCTTGAGATGTCAACACCTCATGAAAAAATTTATATCTTATATGACCTGGCTTTTTTTTCTTATGATACAATGAATAAATTATCTTGGTTCTTTATAAAGTCACCAAGAAAACTTCACAAGCTGATAATGTATTCTAATTTTTAATAAGATTGATATTACAATTATATTTGTTTAGTCAAAACATTGAGCTTCATCGAGCTTGAGTAGGTTTGCATCAAGAAAAAAAATCTTGTAAACTTATTGAAGAATTAATTCTCATATTCCCAACTATAGTGCATTTTTTTAAATGGAAATAGAGATTGTGATTTTTTATTTGTAGCGATATTTTTGTGCAATATTTATGCTGTAATTTTTCATTTTTGTTAAATGTTTTGCTCAAAATATATTACAAACTTTCTATTTGGCTCTTGAAAAGCTACATAACATTAATTCATAATGGAAATAAAGAAGAAAACTAAAAAGTTTTTTTTTTATAGAAAAAAGGCCTGTATGAAAGTATTTTGAGTCCAAACATCACCTCTATAACTCGTGTTTCTTATTTGAAAAAGTATTTAAACCCGTGAGTGTGAACCCAGTAAGTGCCAAAGTGCTGGTTCATTTTAAATGTAGATTTTTACAAGTGCAGCTAATTTTTACCAATATCCAGCCACCAGGAAGAAAGTTTATAATGAATAGTGAAGTTATATTATTAATTGTTTAATTATTTATAATTTGATGTTTATTTTCTTTCATGCCCAAGTTGAGATTGCAAAATGAACGTATTAACATGTTTTGGTTTGCTTTTTTGCTTTAACCACTTAGAATTTTATATTATAGTGTTTGAGTAGTATATTATTTTTCTTAAGTATGTGAATATCTTGTCTTGTATGAGAAATTTAAATTTCAGTTTTGTTTCGTTTAAACGTACTCAAAACCAGAAAAGCATATTGTTTGTTTAAAACTGCATGCTGTGATGTTTTCCTCTTGACAGCTTGAACTTTAAACAAACCCAGTCGAAATATAAATCGGGTTTTAATCGGGCTTAAAATTGCAGCAAGAACAAGGGACGAATATCCTCTACCACCCCAACGACTTCACCGGGCCCATATTATTTTCGTTCAAAGCGAAAAATTTCTTCGCCAAAAAGAAATCACAGCTGAGGGTTTTCGACGGTCAGTGGTCAGAAAAGTTTTCGTTGGACGTGGCTGGAAGTGCCGGGATGGTTTCCTGTGTCTCAGGGGGGAAAATTTACGATGTAAGTCACGTCAAGTCGTATTAGCCAAGTCATAAAATTAAAACATCATCCATTTAACAGATCGGCATCACGATCCAACTGACATACAGTACATTGACGAAACAAGTTATGTTCACGCCGTTCTTTGTAGTCGTCAACCATTGGTCGATTAATCTAGAATTTCAAGAAACAAGTATTAAAAATGATAAATGGCGTGTTGTAAGTAGTTTAAATGTTAAATGCAATATATAATGAAATTTATATGTGGATTTTCCAATAGGTTAAGGAAAAAGATTGTATCCCTTTTTGGCCTGTTAGTAGAGCATCGAATTCTATTAGAGTGAGAGTAGCTGGGACGAAAGAATCAACAGTTGATTTTACTTATAAAACTATCCATCACTCTTTATTTAAACTAGAAAACAAGGTAAAACTATTTATTTATATCTTCTTTTTTTTATATATAAGGATTTTTTTTATGTTTCACACAGTATGGAGCTGTAGTAGTGGATATCCAAGTCTCTGATGGTGGTACATACATCGCTCTATTCCCTTATGAACAAGGGATGGCCCCTGCTTTGATCATCAATCACACAAGTTCAGAAATAGAAGTCGGAGACGCCTCTAGAAATGCCCCCAAGTACGATACCATCTGTATAATTTATTTTAGTAGTGACTAACTTTAATTTGTTTAGCATTAAATTACAAGCGAACGAGCAAGTGCTGTTCTCTTGGCTGCAAGTAGAAGAAAAACATTTACTCATGATTAACGACAAGACATCGATTAGTATACAAGGGGTAAGTGATTTTTCACAATTAATTTTTATTTTTAAAATATTTTGATACAAAAATTTAACTAGGAATGACGAATCACAATTTTAATTCATCGTAGGCAATAGAAGCAGCTTCATTTGAAGATTTTATGCCTTCGTCATCTAAAATTGTAACAGTAAAGTTGTCTAGAGTAAAGCTAAGTACGCACTGGGATTCTTTGAATCTCCGGAGAGTCTCGGCTGCGTCTAGCCTGAGTCCGGGCTGCCCCGACTCATTGTTGTGATGAATCGGTTGTGTTGCGGACTATCATTTTCGGACTCTTTTGAATCCCATCCGATGTGAGATTCTGTGGCTCAATTTTGCACAGTTGCCAGTGCGGACGCGAATCGGAACAAGCGCTCTTGTTTCATTGGTTTAGTTGACGTTCTAGTGAGTGTTTTCTTGAAGATTTTAATAGTCTTGTTTTTTTTTTTTTTTTTTTTTTTTTTTTGCATGCCATGTAGGCATCCGCCACTCCAGAAGTGTCTTGTATAAAGGTATGTTGTGGAGTACCGAGTTGACTTTGCAGTTTATTGAAGACATGCATTCCCATCGGTGTTTGTGGGATGTATCATTTACGGAATACAGAAATCGGGAATTGAAAAGCCAAACATTGAACGGTTTAGCCCAAAAATTCAGTGTTTCTGTCACCGAAATTTAAAAAAAAAATTCACACTTTGAAAGGACAGTTTTTTAATGCACTTCCGATTGGATACACTACGTGCAATGCAAAAGAGCAAGGGAAATTCCCGAGAGAGCTAGTTCCTCCGGCATTTTCGCAGGCACTGATGAATGTGAACTGAATCTTGGTCTGGACACGGTTCTTTGTCGCGGAGCAGAGTCGGGGCTGCGTCACAACAATGAATCTACACAGCCCCGGCTCTGCCCCGCAACATGAATCTATTCAAAGAATCCCAGTGCGTACTAGGCTTTATATGCAGCTTTTGCGACGTTAGGCCCCCTAGGCAGATAAATCTTGCTGTTTTTGGCCTTGTGAATAGTGTGACGCAATACCGTTTAATCTTTTGATAAAGCTTATGACTGGGTCCTTATTTTTTTTTCCCCCCTTAGCATGAGTTTCTTGTTCATGCTAACCACTGTTACTCGTAAATCCTGGGACTGTCGACAATCACCCGGCATTCTGCTGCTTAGGGCTTAGTAGAGATTTCCCCATGGGAGCTTCTCTCTTCCAGAAATTTGGCACTACACTGTTTTTCCCAAGAAACAGTAATATCCCTCAGGGTAATAAATAATAAAAAATGCAATAATAAAAATAAAATAATAATGTCCTCTCTACTGAATGACATTTTGGTCATCATAATCCTTCTGTGTTGCTGGCGATGATTCTTTATCTAGCGTATGCAATCGAAGATGAACTACTTTTCTTTAAGTTTTGACTAAAAAATATTGTGCAATATTAAACCCTACACAGTGTAATGGAAAAATATGGTGCAATAAAAATTAAACTCGCTCAAACTTTTGTTCGATCATTGAACATACTTCAATACTAACCCTAAACTGTTAAAAATATTGTGCAATTTGTAATATTGTGCAATATAATTGATCGTCTATTTCCCCCCCCCCCAAAAAAAATAAGATCCTATTGATTTATGGTAACTAAAATATGATATGAATTATAATTTCTCAAGGTATCTACCAAATAAGGCATCAATGATGCTTCCTGATTTAGTAGACAGGAATTACTTTATTTTTTTACTTTACTTATAGTGATATTTCTTCTTGAAGTCTGAGGCTAGCAAAATAGATAAACCTTTTTAAGATATTTAGAGATTTTCCTAACATTGCTGTTTTAGAAGTCAGACTCATTTCAACTTTTAGCCATCTTCTGGCAGACCAAAACAGTGAGGATAGGTAGGACAAAATGATCAGAAATTACCTAAGCTATAAATATAATATGTGAGACGTTTCCTTCTTCCTCATTCCTGTCTTTTTTTATATGAATGATTCTTTAAATGAATGCTCTCGATCTATTTAGCGAGAAGAACAGTTTAAATTAGAAAGCTGTCCCCACAAATATTTTTTCTCTCTATATTTATGATACACTGTAGTTGTAAAGTTGTCATACGATATAATAATACAGATCACAGTTGTATTTAATATGTTTTTATTCATCAGGATGGCCTGGGTTCAATTCCAAGCCCCACCGGTGAATTTTACTGGACATCGTTCCTCTATGGTCTTCAGAGGGTTCTTCTCTTTACAGAACAGCGACAGATCGCATCTGATGCTCAGAACATTGACGAGCTTCATGTCCCCCTTCTTGAACTTGAAATCGCAATCAGCGGGATTGGATTATCTTTGGTGGATAACATTGCTCGTGCTGAGGTTGTGCATATGGGAATCACAAGGTAACGTTTAAAACAGCTACTAAAAGACAAGTAAATATAAACAAAAAAATTTATTTAGCTCCGGCTTGGTGTGGATGTGTAAAAAAAAGAATAAGAAGCGATACAAGCCTCTTTCAGACAGAGAAAGCACTTTAATAGAGGATGCCTACCAGCGATACCTTTTAGCAACAGAATCCCGAAAAAAAGTCGATCCTCAAATAATAATCGATCAGAGAATCACGGTATGTTTATACATTTATATTTACAATTGATTTAATTTTTACAAATGTGTTCATTAGATATGTATTCCAGGTGGATTTTGTTTTAATGGAAATGCTAAAACCGACTCAAAGGCAGTTGAAGCGAGCATACAAAAACGGTTTTTGGTTCAATTTAATCAAAAGTCAGCACATATTGCAGATGCATGCGAAGATCAACAGGATTCAAATAGACAACCAGATGTTCGACTGTACATTTCCTGTTGTATTCGCTCCTGTTCCTCCTCCTAAGAGCATCGCCACTCAAACGAGTACTTACATTCGTCCATACATGTATTAAAAAATGTTTACAAACTTTTTTTTTATAGGTGAAAAGCCATTTGTGGAAGTGAGCATAGTGAAGAGAGTTAACGAGTACTCATTCGTACAACAGTACAAATACTTTAAAGTCCTAGTGCAGGAATTTGATGTCAGGGTTGACATCGGATTTGTCAATGCGATCGCAAGCATGTTAGAAGCTGAAGAAGACTACGACAAAGAAAAAGAAGTAAAAATTAATTATATATAAATATAAAAGATAATTTCGTATGCGTGTTAATGTAAAAATGAAAACTACTAAACAGATTTCATTGACAGATTTTCATTTTGTTTTTATTAGTGCCATGCGGGTAGAGAATAATAGGCATATAACAAATAATGGGCATCAGGATTTACAAAAAAGAGAAATAATACTTATCTCCCTGGGCAACGGCGGGTTATAAAAAGCTAGTTATAGATAAAAGTAAAAAAATTAAATTTAAATGAAATTAATTTAAATAAAACCAACACACCTTGCTAGTTCTTACAGACATTTTGCCTATAACCGGTAAGATTCTGGAAAAAAAACTGTTGCTCTATCTGTATAACGAAATATCATCCCATATTATTCCTAATCACCAGTTCGGCTTTCGGAGTTTTTTTTATTTCTTTTTTTTCCTTTTTTTTGCATTTCTGTGGAAACTCAACGGCATCCTACCATCTTCTCTCCTTATACAAAAATAATACCTTACAGGCTGTCTCTTCTAAACTGTCCAAACACTTATTTCACCTCCATTTACTTGATACTCACTGGTGTCCCACAGGGAAACATACTCGCTCCCCTCCTTTACACAATTTACACGGCTTATCTACCCACTCAGCTTAACACTTTCATGTTTTACCTTTGCCGTCATTACAGCTTCAACTAATTTTCAAAATCACTTACACACACTCAATTCATGGTTCCACCAATGGAGTGTCAGATAAACGTAACTAAATCTAAATAAATTGTTCTTACCCTAAACAAAAAAATCTCAACAAACAACTTACATGGAATCCTCAAACTAGACTCAAACATAAAAATTTAAATACAAGATTCAGACTGCTAAAAAAGACTAATTGTCAAGCAATCTAAATTTACATTATCGAGAAAGAAAAAAAAAAAAGACTACTCTCCTGCTAGACCCCTTAGGCGAACACTAGACTTGCAATAACATTGCACAATAATTTTATTGTATTGAATGACATTTTGGTCATCATAATCCTTCCGTGTTGCTGGCAATTCTCTATCAACTTATGCAATCGATGATGAACTACTCTTCTTTAAGTCTCAAATTCTTCTAATAATAATGCTCCCTTCTGTCTCTAACCGTACAATTCATTCCGACTTAAAAATCCCAATCGTATTTGACTTTCCATTACAAAAATTGTTATTCTAAATTACCTGGTTGAAGGCTGAAGTGACAGCCACAAAACAACTTATTTGCCTAATATTGTCAAGGGATGTGCCCCCTACTGGTTAACTAAGGGCTCCGCTAGCTTTTACACCTCAGCAGTAAAATATTTATCGCAAAAACATTAGATATACATATGTGGTGATTAGTGACCGTTAATCGATAATTATTCAGAAATTGTGAGATGCGGTCTGGTGTGATGTAGGTTTCAGAAAAATATTTTCTTTATCGTGCCACGTTTCAATCTTTATTGAGATCATCTTCAGGGCCTGGGTTTTACAAACATTGTATACATTTAACAAATACATTTAGGATGTGGAGAAGTGAATTTATACAATGCAAAATATATTTTTTATATTCAAAGTATTTCTACTTCTACATAAAGATATACAAACAGATCCTCCATAACAATCTCTACCCTAAACACATCATTAACAGAATAATAAACAACTACAACTCAACACTAACACCATCCACTGTTACTAATAATACTACATTAAGTCTACCAAATACAAACAAACCAGTATACTTTTCCATGGCATTTATTCAAGACCTATCACATAAATTAAACACATTTCTCTCGTCCGATAACTTCAAAATAGCTTTCAAAAATTATAAAACAATCCAAACACTTTTTTCCAAAATTAAAGATCCCACACCAATAATAAATCTGATGTAATCTACAAGATCAACTGTTTAAACTGTCTGGCAACTTACATCGGTCTTACATCCCAATATCTGGACAAGAGAGTAAAGCAACATATCTATGATTGCAAAAAACCCAAGCAAAATCCTACAGCACTCGCTACCCACCACTTTGAACACCAACACAATAACGACTTCAACAGTCCAAAAATATTTCACACAAAACAAACAAAATGTATTGGGTTGTCCGGAAAATAATGCAGGATTTTAAGTTTTCATTAAAAAAAATCTATATAAAATATTCTGTTTACGTTTACAGGATTACNATATTTTGCATTGTATAAATTCACTTTTCCACATACAAAATGTATTTGTTAAATGTAAACAATGTTTGTAAATCCCAGGCCCTGAAGATGATCTCAATAAAGATTGAAACGTTGGCACTATAAAGAAAATGTTTTTCTGAAACCTACATCACACCAGACCGCATCTCACGATTTCAGAATAATTATTAGATATATAATTTGTATCCTACGATCAGTGAGGGACTGTTCATACCGAAGGGATAAAACGTTCACTGAGTATAGTCATTCTTTCAACATTTTTGCTTGTTGCATATTTAAAGTGTAATTTTACATAAATTAATTAAAAATAAAAATGTAATGGAAAATGAACGTAAATATTGCTCATCTCTGCTTTAAAAACTTTTAACTTTTACATTGTAAAGTTATATCAATGTTGTGTAAGTAAAATCGAAATTATGTTTTAATTGTTCTTTTTTAATCAAATCTTTCTTTTGTTCAGTTTGAAATGCTTCAATAATAGGAATTAGTTTTGAAGCCACGATTATCTCTTTTGTTTTAGCTTCAAGGTTTTACTGAAGATTTGCAATTTAAGGACAAACCTCTTCATTTCCATGTAGTTCAGTCGTCTATACGAGACCAGAAACATTTCTACGATTACCTTCATCTCTCGCCTCTAAAGGTAAATTTATTTTACAGTGTAAATTAATAAATTTAATATTGAAACCCAAAATTTCAAGATCCACCTGAGTTTCACACTTGCTGGCAGTAACCAAGAAAGCAAAGCAAAAACCATCCCGCCTGTAATCAACCTTGCAATGCAGAGCTTAGGCGTCACTCTGACAGACGTCCAAGGAGTGATTTTCAAGTAAATAATAAATAAAAGTATAATCAAGGCCCAGGATTTATTCAAATTTTTCAGGTTGGGCTATTTCGAAAAAGAATATTGCTTTTTGACAGGGAATCAGTTGATACAAGAAGCTCAAATGCACTACTTCGGTCAGCTCGTAAAGCAGCTTTACGTTCTTGTCCTTGGTTTAGACGTAATCGGTAACCCATTTGGTCTCGTCTTGGGTATTGGGCAAGGAGCAGCCGATTTCTTCTATGAACCATTTCAAGTAAGTGATAAATTGCATCAAATATTTTCCAGGAATGTATTTTAATTTTTTTTAGGGAGCGATCCAAGGTCCAGGGGAATTTGCTACAGGTCTCGTTTATGGTGTGAGATCACTAATAGGTCACACTGTCGGAGGTGCAGCTGGTGCCGTTTCAAAAATAACCGGAGCAATGGGTAAGTGAAAATCAAGCCATGTTTGAAAATTTACTAATTGCAAAATGTTTATCAGGTAAAGGGATCGCAGCTCTTACTTTTGACAAGGAATATCAAAGGCATAGAAGAGAATTGATAGGACATAAGCCTTCAAACTTCCAAGAAGGGCTCGCCCAGAGTGGGAAAGGTCTTGTCATGGTGAGATCCACTACAACACAACTGTAGGGCAATACTAATGGAATTTATTCTATAGGGTGTTGTCGACGGGGTGACTGGCGTGATACGTCAACCTATTTACGGCGCTAAGGATGAAGGACTGGGTGGTTTTTGCAAAGGTGTAGGCAAAGGATTAGTAGGCCTTGTGACAAGACCAATTGCAGGGATCACTGATTTTGCAAGCGGTTCCTTTAGCGCCGTTAAGAGGTAAATTTTTTTTTCTTTTTATCAAATTCAATAAGTAATGCTTATTTTTCTTCTCAGGGCTACAGATATGGCTGAGGATGTTTTAAGGATGCGTTCACCCAGATGTATACAGGTGGATGGCCTTGTTAGGCCATTTTCTAAACGAGAAGCTGAAGGATTGAAACTCTTAATGGTAAAACAAACAAAAAAAACTATTAACAACTAAATTTTTAAAATTATTGTATATTTCTAGAGTGTAGAAAAAGGGAAATTTTCTAAAACAGACATGTACATTTACCACATATTGCTTGGGCATACTAAACAAAAAGATGTACTACTTTTGACCGACAAGAGGATTGCCTATATAAGCATAAATGAAATATTCGGCGGGTACCAGGTATTTATGACACGGACGGGCAAAATTATCCAGGCTCACAATTTGAAATTTCAGATGGACTGGGCGTACAGGTGGACTGAAATCAGCACACCGTCCGAAGTAGTGGACAAGGGTGTCATGTTGTTCTTCTCAAAAAAGAGAGGAATGAAAACCTTATTCCAAACTACTGATTCTGGCAAGTTGATACTTATTGATCAAGAAGAAATAAAAAAGGTAATTGTGGGTGTTAAAAAGTTTTAAACTTTTTCGGTCAATCTGAGACAATATTCTTAAAGTGCTTATTCTCGTCAAACATATTTGAACATTCAGCCTGAAACACGTCTTTCAGACAATTACAGATTTAATAAGCAGACGAAAAAGATCTTAGATGATCAAATTGATATGCCTCATCATATGTTAAGCTAAGTATAAATAATAATATATTTTTGTTTCAGACAATTTCCGATATGATAAATGAACTGGTAGAGAAACATTCTAGAATGGATTTGCTTCATTGAAGAGTTTGGGAAATATATAATAAACATTGTAAAAAACTTAAAACTGAAGTAACTAGCTTTATGCTATAATTTTAACGACATAATAGCTTTAAAACAGGTCTGCCTTTAGATTAGAAATTCTCAACTCTTTTAGAAAAAATTCAGATTTAAAACTGACCTAAAACAAAAAAAAAAGTGCCTAACAAAATATTTTTAAAAATTTAGTTTATAAATTTTAGTGTAGAGTAGTAAATTTAAATTATGCATAAACTAAATTTTGTCACTGTGTTTAAGTTGCTATTTTATTTTTTAATTACTGTAAGTTTAATTTCTTGAACTGGTTGAAAGCGGTATTTAAAAATCTAGCACTGTTTTATTTGTTAAAAATACAATTTGTGTAACTAATTAATATGGTGTATTTATTATTCGTAAATTATATTATTTTGTGATCAAATTTAACGCTTTCAATCTGTAAAAATATTCTTTTTTCTTTCTTTGTACTTATAGAAAGGATTAAAAATCAAACAGGCAATTTCAAATTACAAAAATTTATTCTATTAGATATACAGGCAGGTATTACGCATCCAGTATTTATCTATTATAAAATTCTGGAATTTAAAAAAAAATCAAATTAATATATTTCATAATTATAAGTTTTTTTTCTAGTCAACTACAAATTTACTTAAAATGATTCTTAATTCGAAAAGATGGAAAAACGGCAGTAAAGGAAATTTTAGAAAAACGGCATTAAATTAAATTTTTCTATGTGTTGTTGCTTACAAATTGTTCATAGTAATTATAATAGAATAAGTAATGTCATCTTATGTCAGTTACCCATCATTTGTTTTATATTAATTATTTTTGTAAATGCCTACTGTATTTTTCTATTAATTGAAAAAAAAAAAAAATGTATGAGAGATTATTTTGTACTTACTAACCGAGACCGTACCAATTGTTTTCAAATTCTTTGATGTTCTTCACACTTCATAACAAATAGTCGTTTTTTTCCCCTCTTATGTCAATCCGATAAATTGTCCCTCAACTTATGCCTTTAAATTATCTTTTCTCTTAGCATTCCTAATACTTGTTGACTGTCCGACACAAGAACAGCGCAGGGATAATGTTGAGACCACTTCCACAAGGCCCAGGAGTTTGTCCAGGTCACACTGCATCAAATTCTAAGTACCCTTTTTTATTGGGATATTCAACAAGCTTCACTATGAAAATTTTAATTAATTTACCCCATAATTAATTATTTGCCCACTTGGCCTAGGCAATAACAAATCAGTTTTATTTTTATTTTTATTCTTTAAATTCACTAATTAATCACCTTTCTCTTTTATCTCAACTAAAAACCTTAATTAATGTGGTAAAGCAGCGGCGAATCTAGCCGAAGATCGTTGGTTCGAATCCCGCTCGTGCCATTGACTTTTTTATCTCAACTAAAAACCTTAATTAATTGTAATATATTAATTGGACCACAAAATTAATGAATTAAAATGAAGTATACTTCACTAAAGCTCTCCGTGGCCATTTCATTTGTCGCCGAGAATCAAATAGATCATACGATATTTGAAAAATGGCAAAAATGAGGGAAAATTCAAAAGGTGGGGTTGAGATGGGAATGGGAAGTTGGTGTGCGAGTAGATCGAGGTCACGATAGTTCAAATGGTTCGAATCCCGCTCGTGCCATTGACTTTTTATCTTAACTAAAAACCTTAATTAATTGTAATTTTATTTTTATTTTAATTATTAAGGTGGCTCCAGACATGCGGTATTCGCCGAATGCCGTCTACTGCCGAACATTTGCCAAGTCTCAAAATGCTCGCCTCAGCATTTGCCAAATAGCATGCTTATATATACACAACGGTTTGTACAACCAGACAGTTTTTGCAGAAACAGCGAATACATATTTGCCAAGTCACGTACCACAGTGAAACTGACATTGCTGCAGCTGCGGTAATGTTTTGGTAACTAAAAAACTCAGTCGCAGAATATTACTTTCGATCCGTTTCCACGCATTGAAAACCTCATTCCGATTTTTATGATTCGGAAGAGATGCTTTCAAAATTATTAAGTTCAACATGGTACAGATAGAGAAACTCCAAGACTGTTATGTTGGGTCAATCTATTCCTAACTGACAGAAATAACGTTACAACATTCTTTCATTAATACATCTATACTAGTTAGGATTAGATTATTATTGAAAAATAAATAGCAATCCTTTTTTTTAAAGATAGTTCCTACTCACAGTAAATGTCTCAACTTACTGTGAGTAGGAACTACCTTTTTAAAAAAAGCATTGAACACCACACTCACTCCATCATTTATCATTTCTAATAAATAGCAATGTTGAATAATGATTACAATAGATATCTGTTCAGTAAGTTGCTTCCTTAAGTGTGGATGCTTTGAGTTCAGCTACTTAATGAATAATTGTGCACTTTGAAGCAGACAAGGAAACCAAAAATTAGCAAGGCGAGCACCAAATATTGTTGCTCAACAAATAACTGAGCACACTTCCCCACTAGTTGGGATTAGGCAAACCTTTGCTCGGCTGGCAATCAGCAAATCCCGCATGTCTTGAACCACTTTTAGGTTATAATAAAACTTCACTTTTGAAAGGGAGGAAATTATAAGGCCGTTGGAAATATATGCATCTGTGAGGATTTTCGATACTGGATTAGGCAGTTAGGATGAGGTAATCGAGCACTTTACGGAGGTGCCTGCATCAAGCATTCTTGCTGTTTGGAGTAAAAGTGGAATCTGACAGTGCAAAGTAAGGTTAGATATGAAGTAGGGAGCTGGGGCAATGATTCAAAGGGTTTTGGACTGGTTTGAATATATACTTTGGAGATTGGAACACGTTGTTGAACCCCACAGTTCAATTCCGTTCATCCAGATTGTTTGTAATAGTGAAGTGTAAATGAGGCTGTTTTGAACTAAGAGATTTAATCTTTTGTCGAGTACAGGGGTTCCATCTTTTGTCAATGTCCCCAAATAGTGAATGTGTTATAGAAAATTGTAGGTATTTGCTGGGATTTGGTTTTTTTTTTGTATATGATCCTCCTGGGCATGAGGAATAGATAGAAGTGATATAAATGTCTACAGTGTATATTTAATAAAGAATAGTGCAAAGGATGCTGCCATGCGGAACACCTGGTTCAGGAAGTTGTGGAAGGATGTCTTGAAAATGCCTATTGTAGATTTAGGGTTTTAGGATGAGGTAATAAGTGAATGGAAAGATGCTCTGTAAACTCCAGAGAAAACTGGGTCCACACTCGATCAAAGGTTTGCCTCACTTCTAAGGAAATGTGTGTGGTGATTAGTGACCGCTAGTCGATGATTATTTGGAAATCGTGAGATGCAGTCTGGTGTGATGTAGGTTTGAGAAAAACATTTTCTTTCTCGTGCCGTTTCGATCATTATTGAGATCATCTTCAGAGCCTGGGATTTACAAACAATGTTTACATTTAACAAATACATTTAGGATGTAGAAAAAAGTGAATTTATACAATGCAAAAAAATTTTTTATATTTGAGTGAGTAGAAATACTTTGAATATAAAAAATATATTTTTTTTTTCATTGTATAAATTCACTTTTTTCCACATCCTACATGTATTTGTTAAATTTAAACAATGTGTGGTGATTAATGACCGTTAATCGATAATTATTCAGAAATCGTGAGATGCGGTCTGGTGTGATGTAGGTTTCAGAAAAACATTTTCTTTGTCATGCCAACGTTTCGTCTTTATTGAGATCATCTTCAGTGTTTGTCTTCTGTGTAATTGTGCCATTCTTGCGTGTCGTGTTGAGAGTGCCCAATTAAACAATGTTTGTAAATCCCAGGCCCTGAAGATGATCTCAATAAAGATCAAACGTTGGCACGATAAAGAAAATGTTTTTTCTGAAACCTACATCACACCAGATCTCACGATTTCCAGATAATCTAAGCAAACACTCGAGCAGCATTCCTTCCTCCAAGGAATTATACAATGATATGTTGGGTTCAACCATTTCTGGCTTAAACTATGTTAATGCCAATGGAAATCGGACAGGAAGTTACAATGATATGTACCACCTTGTGTCAGTATTGAAAGGTACAGTGTTGTTACTTAATTTGTGGGATGGAAGAACTTGAAACACTGAAGATTGCAAGGATTTTGTTAAATAATGGCAACAAACTGATAAGGCGATTTGGCTAAGGGAGATACTGAGTTTTTGTGTTTTATGAATGATAATTTCCATTGGATTGGGAAGGAGGTAGTTCTAAGGACTGAGTTACAAACGGCGACACGAAAAATTATAGCTTTTTTTAAAGAAGATATTTGTGGTGATAATGTCAAAACTGGAGGGTTTTTATACTAGGAGGTGTAAATATACTTTGAACCACATATGTCACTTAAAAAATTGACTTTATTTACATGTTCTTATATCAAAATTACTTACCAAGATTAACAAGGCAAATATTTATTTATTCTATTCAACATTAGTTAATAATAATAAAAACATATTTTTATCTTGGAAAAGTATATACATATCAGAAATCCAACGCTCCTTCCAAAAACGTCAGTGCATCGGAGGAAGCTATGGCACTGTCGACATGACGTCCGAGTATGGTTTTCATTTTGGTCACAGCCAGGTGCGTATAAGCATCTTTGCTAAGGGATTCGATGAACAGCTCCTATAAAATTTTAAGTTAAAACATTTTTAGTTTGTGGTAAAACAGCCAGGAAGTCAGTTGAGTTTAACCTTGATAAGCAGCTCAATTAAAAATTATGCTGAGGGATGACTGACTTTTAAGACTAAGTACTATAAGAGTTAAGGGTTACAATTAAATTTATTTGATATTTCTTCAAAACGCAAGCACACATATATCAGAAAATTTAATTATTAAATATTATTTAAATATATTTCTTGGCTCCATACAGAGCATGTAGGAATGCCACAGGCAGTGGGTATTTAGGTCTCCTGTTTCAATTCTTGGAGTAATCAGGGTGGACAGTACTGATAGCTTTGTGTCCCTTGCATGGGTTGAGAGTGAACGTATTTATTAGCATGAATTCAGAGGGTGGAATGTTGAGTACCCTATCAACCCTGAAATAGGTTAGTCATAGGTGTAAAGAGTCATAGAGGAATATCAGCATTCGACCACCCGAACTGAGTGAATATTATGTAAATAAGCAAGAATGTATTTAAGAAAGAGTAAGCGTGAATGATTACATTTAAGGCTTTGATCAAATTCAGTGGAGTTGTCCTTGTATTAATTATAATTTTTGGTACTTACACTTTATGGACCGTCATTTCACTTAAGTATAAAAAACCTCTGTCACACCTATAAAATTCCATTTTTGAGTTATCTGAAAAGATGCGTCGTATTCAAAAAGTAAATTGTTTCCTTCCCGACTTAATCAATTACCGAATCAAATCAATTAGTACACACATTCTGTTAGGTCTTGCTGGTATATACACTTATCTCATTTTGTCAAAATTTGACTTATCCAGGTTTGTCCTGAGGGTGCAGATTTTTGCCATGGATCACTTGGATTTTCTTTTCTCTATCAACATCTAAAGTTTAAATTATAATAACATTAAAAATAACAGAACATAAAAATAGCCTTATTTAAAGAACCAGGCAATTATCAACAGTAATAAAGATCAGAGTTGTTTGGCATTCCAGTAATACTGTCAGATATTGGGAAAAACAACCAAATTATCCTTGTCTGGGTATCAGGGCTCAGTGGGCAGAGGGGCAAAGAAGAGGCTGATAAATTGGCCAAGAAAAGTTCGATGAGGACACCTATCGGCCCTGAACACTTTTGAGGCATACCAAACTGCTGCGTTTGAATAACTAAAAAAAAAAAAAAAAAAAAAAAAAACCACGTAGGTGGAGACAGACCCAGTAAGTAGCCCTGTGCCGGTTCAACATGAACACGTTAATGTTATAAATTAAGAGAAATAAAATAATATACGTAATATTTGCTTAACTTATAGACAGAAAGTAAATGTCAAACATCAAAAAAGTTTATAAAAATAAAACCATCATTTTAAAGAAGTTTTGTAAAAACAATTGAAAACATTTAAATTTTTGTTAATTTGGAGATAAAAAAAAATAAAAAAGCATTGTATAAATTCATTCATTTATTTATTTTTCTCTCTTTTTTCTTTTTTTATTTTATTTTATATTTTCCACATCCTACATGTATTTGTAAAATTTAAACAATGTTTATAAATCCCAGGCCCTGAAGATGATCTCAATAAAGGTCGAAACGTTGGCACGATAAAGAAAATGTTTTTCTGAAACCTACATCACACCAGACCGCATCTCACGATTTCTGAATAATCATCGACTAACTGTCACTAATCACCATACATTTAAATTTTTATTTAATATTATAAAATGGATTATATTTATCCATCAATTATAATTATCCAAGTAAATAAAATTTACTTAAATCGATTCAAATAATTCATAAAGATAAGGTTTTTACTCTTTTCCAAAAATCATTGCATGTACAAATTGTAAGCATAGGTTTTATGAAAAACGAATTCAAAGCAAAAGAGAATAGAAAAAAAACCAAGGGCTTTATATATGGACAAAGGTTATTGAATGCTAAGTGATTCAGACGAATAACATCCTTATCAGGTTGAGATGTGGATAATCCCAGCTAGACTCCTTCAATCCAAAAGGAGAAAAAAAATTTCTTGTCCTTTGACAACCTTTCAATGAAAACCAATCAGTCAATTCAAGCGTTATTCAATAGATGGTTTACTACTCTAAAAAGCAGGTAAAAACTTTTATAATAATTTTATTGAAAAACTATTCAGTAAACAAGTTCATTATGTCTAATCTTGTGGCATGTTCAATTCCCTGTTTTCCCAAGCGTTGATAAAAAATTACTTTATTAAAAAAAAAATTCTTTAAACATTTAGCAATTTGTGAAAAAATTGAGTACATAAGATGATTAAAGTAAGATTTTTTAGGTCAAATTTTAATCTTTATTATATCCGCTATGATAACAATGAAGTTTAGTCATTACTGATTATCTTGGCCAGTTCGATCTTCAATGCTGAAAACGACCATAAACAGCAAGAATAGGCGGGCTGCAATAATCTAATTGCTAATATTAAAACATGTTCCATCAAAAACATTAGATGGAAAGAAAACTGTGAGTATGTTGGGATGTTGAAAAATTATATGTTAATGCATATTTTGTTATGACTGTCCTTTTTCATTGACAAACGTAACACTCGATTGTGCACACATGTACTCTCAATAATTTGTAAAACATGGTTTTCCTTCAGTCTTTGCAAAATTTATGAATATAAACTGTTGTTTATCTAAGGCACAGCATACATTATGATACCCTTTTTAATAATTACTATCTATTCCCTTCAATCGTGTTAAATGAATCATCTTGTTAACACAGGCATTTCTGCTACTCCAGTCTACACATATGCCTCCAGAATCTGCAAAAGTCAAGTTCTGGTTAGCATGTAAGGGTCAAGTTAGCAGTCCAACTATTTTCTAGTCCTAACACGTCCTAGATTAGTAGTTATGCCATTAATTTATATGATGGTACTTTGACGAACTTTTTGCATACCTCTGTCCTGTTAAAAGAAACACTCGGCTCATGGACCCCGTGGATGTAGGTTCAATTCCCACTGTCGCCTCTGGCCCTTTTTTCACGATACCCTTCCCCCCAATATGAATATGCATAGTTACATTCCCACTGAATGGAGCTTAGTTTTAATCCATTGTCTTATGGATCCACTTTTTGCCAGTTTGGTATGCCACAAAAGTATTCAGGGCCAATAGGTGTCCTCATCGAACTTTTCTTGTCCGATTTATCAGCCTCTTCTTTGCCCCTCTGCCCAGTAAGCCTTGATACCCAGACAAGGGTAATTTTGTTGTTTTTCCTCATATCTGACAGTGACCTACTGGAATGTCAAACAACTATGAACTTTACTGCTGATGATAATAGCCTTCAGTGTCGCCTGGCTGTTTGAGTATGATTATATTTCTGTTCTGTTATTTTCATTTAAATTTTAGAGGTTGGTGGAGAAAAGAAAATCCAAGTGTCATGGCAAAAATCTGCACCCTCAGGGCAAACCTGCATAAGACAAATTTTGACAAAGTGTGTGCACCAGTAAAGCCTGGTAGAATGTGTGTACAATTGATTAAGTTGAGAAGAAAACCATTTGCTTTTTGAATATGGCCTTTTTAGATGCTCAAAAAGTGAATTGTCTAGGTGCAACAAAGAGTTTTTTTACAAACTTAAGTGAAATGTCAGTGCATAATGTAATAAGTACCAAAAAGTCTAATTAATTCAACGACAACTACATTGGATTTGATCAAATGTTAGCACAACAAAAATTGAATTTTACCAAAGATCTAAACTTTAAAATCACAATCCTAAAGTGTTTCTTTTTAAATTATCCATTTATCCTAGTGTGCAGAAATAGCCATAGCCAATAAACATAAGCCATGTTTTTTTACTTCTGTATAGCCACGTTATAGCCTGTACATACATAGTTACAATGTATTTAAAATTGCCTCTTTTATGGAAACTCAGATTGGAGAATTAGCCCATGGGCTGCTGAGGATGGGCCATTGAGCCCAAACGTACAGAAAAAAAGAAATATTTATGCCATTCTTCCCAATATGCCGACATGAAATAGGTCATGTATCTAGTCTTTTTTTCCCACTGTTTGTTTTTGAGTGTAACCTCAAACGCAAATTGACCCCCAAATCTTCGACTTGCAAACTACAGTACTATCACCCTTAGGGATGACCCTGCCTCCAAGCATCCAGGGAATATGAAGGCCAATATACGTAAATTATTTGATTTTTTTCAACTCAGCAATTTATTTAACAAAATATGAGCTCATGTTATTCATTTTTGTTTCTTTTTTATTAAGATAAATTAAGAGAGATATATTAAGATAAATTAAAAAACAGTGTTGTGAATGGTCTGTGCCCCTGGATAGTGCCCACACATGCACATCATTCCCTAGGTCAGGAAAGTGGGAAAACATGCGGCAATATCATCCGGTACGACTTGCGGAGTCCTACATCTTATGCAATCAGCCATTGGCTGCCTAGGCCCTCTGTTTGCCCTGTATGCCACTGATATGGGGACAATCATGAACCCTGATGATTATGTCCCCAATTTAACAATTACAATTTTTTTAAGTTGTACATCTAAGCTATGTGTGAGAAGTTGTTTGGGTGTATAACTTGATGTGTCCATTTTTTTGGTAGTATATGTTCTGTGATCATTTTTTGTAAGCTTGTTTGGTTGTTTTTTGTGTTACCTTGTACACTTTTGAACACCTTTAAAAAAAGAACGGTGAATTACATTTCAATAGCCATATACAAAATTTCAGCCCTCAACATACAAAAGACCATTAATCATAATTCATCATAAATTGTGCGCTTCATAAGAGTTGTTCTCATATCCCAAGCTTAACAAGTTCTTTTATAGAGCCTTTTTCCCTTATTTTTGAAGATTTCATCTTGCCAGTCATTGTTATTTATAAATTCCTTCTCGTGATATAATTTTACTCTTACTTTTGGATTTTTTAAAGAAATATTTATTTTGAGATTTCTCTAGCAATCTGCAGGATTATGTACCTGTAATTTGACCATTACTGAACATTGTGATTTGCTTTTCATTGCAGACCCAACACTGAAGATGGCGAAATACTGGAACGTATCTGACTGATCAACACAATGAGGTCTGGCTGACTTTAATGATCAGTAATGAGCTAAGATATACAAAAATTAAACAATAGGTTAACACGAGATTCCCTATCCTCAGCTGTGCAATATTTTGTAGTTTTAGTATCGTTAGTGACTGGAACTTTTGGTATCCCCTAACAAGGACTGGTGTTGTGAGTATTGAGCCTGTGTCGTTGAGAGTGCAGAGCCATTGGCCAAGGTCCGGGGCCATGTTTAGATATAGTGAGTTGGTAGACTCAGCAGCGGAAGAAGGGACTCGGGCAGCAGGTGGCCGGTAGCCAAGTCGGCCGTGGAGAAGGCGAGAGCGAGGATGATGCTGCGAGTGCCCTTACTGTTGTCGGCTTGCTCTATTAGTGAGCACTGAGACCTAGTCAGGGTGATGAGTCTCCAGTGTTGACCTCATCTAGGTCTCCACTTTAGTGACAGGGAATTTTGGTGCTGATGAAAGGCCAGTGTTGTGTGTGTTGAGCCTGTGATGTTCAGGACATAGAGCCAATGGTTGAGATCTGTGGCCATGTTCAGTTATAGTGAGTTGGTAGACTCAGCAGAGGATTCATTTTGAGGTATTATTATTGAGCAGTTGAGGTGAATGAAAGCCAAACCTGAACAACCTAAAACTCTGTTTAATTTAAACAAGCTGTCAAAGATTCCTTCAAACACAATATACACCAGACCGCATCTCAAGACCTCCAAATAATCATTCCTTCAAACCTTCACCATGGTAACATGCAAAATCATGCAATTATGTCGTTTTCACATGGGTACTCACGGTGGCTTTGGTGATTAGAAAAACTGATTCAGAGCTGACTAGGGACACGTCTGGGTCCATTTTAATGATTTGCTTTATCCTGCCTAGTGGTAGTCGGGCCGGTTTGTTCCTCGGCGGTGTTTTAAACTTGACAGCTTTCTTCGGGACTTCGTCGCCCTCATCCTGGTTCGGGGTCTGTTCCATCACCTCCTCTTCTTCCATCGTTAATGCAACTATTCGACTATTCTAAGATATCAATGATCAACTTTCCATATCGGTCAAATCATAACAAGAAAGCGGGAAAAGTTAAAAGTGGGAAGGTTATCTTGCTTTATAAGTAATGTTCATGACTACTTTCATATATCACTACATAAAATATTAAAAAATAGTAAACGATAAAAAAAAATCGCAAGCACACTCCCCCTGTGGTTTTTTTAATCTACAATTGTAATATTAAGAGTATTAAGATATAATTAATCACATCAAGATAATTTAAATGTGAACTTATTTTAAATTACAAAGAAGTAAGAACAGATCAAGGTAAATAGACAGTGCGATTTTTATGTTGGGTGTCTGGTCGTCAAACGTCATCAGAATATAGACGTAGAAAATCTTTACAGTTTAAGTTTAAACTCCACCACCAATTTTCAAATTGTTGACACGTTAACATTCGATAAAAAGGGATTTTAATTTAATTAAAGATTAATTAACGTTAGCCGGTTTTTGGAGGAATAACATTTTCAGACGGTTCAATCTCATATTCCCTGTTGTTTACCCCGTTGAAACTTGCGGAGGTTGCACTGAACTGTTGACTCTTTATTTGATTAGTTTATTATTTGTTCTTTATATTGTATTTCTTTTATTATTTTAATGACGTCTGCCAGATTTAGAGCAGATAAACGGATTGACACCTTGTCTGTAATGAACATGCTCTCTTTTAAGAGTAAGGTAGGCAAAAAATATCTAGCTATTTCAATGTTGATTTTACCAATTTTTACTGGATTTTTTAACAATTTTTTTGTTTTTAAAATATACAGATAAAGTAATTATTACTTTCCAGACAAGAGTTTATCTTATAAGGTATCATTTCTCAACTGTACATATTTTTTTAGTGTTATTTCTAACATCTCAACATTAGTTTTATCGGAAATTGACTTCAAGAAAATTAAACGAATAAAAATTATAATTATATTATTAAGGCAGGCTAGATTTTGGGATAATCAATTTTCCTGACCTGCTAAATTTAATATACACTGAGTAGTTCAAAGCAGTTGAGTATTTCGGTGACAATGGACCTGATGAGCCATTCAGCATGATTTGACCGACTCGCAGACCAACCACCAGCATCAACTCTAAATAAACTTAATTAAACCCACTACCGAAGATCACAAAATCAAATGCATCTGAGATTAAACCAGGGAAGATTGGCTTACTGGTACCGGTATGATCGGAAATGTCCAAAGTACAAGATATAGCTGATTTTATTCATACTGCACACCTAGGTCAAGACAGAAACAACTAAAGAAAAGTTTTTTCGAGAGCGTTCATAAACTAATAGCCATGATGTTACTGATTTATATAAGCTAAAATCTGCACATGCACATGAGTTCAGAATTGAGCCTATCACTTATTGCAGTCCACTGCCAATTGCTGATTTTGTAATTTAGAATAAATAGACAACATAAAAAAAAACAGGAACTTTATTTATTTATTTTTTATTTACAGTCCAAACAGGTCAGGTACCCAAGCATAGGACAGTCAAGCAACACAACAAATCAATCATTACGATATAAACTATTAAAAAAGGATACAAAAATAAAAATAATAGCAAAGAAGGGCTAACACTTTTAACAAACAAATCAATATTATAAATAGATTAATAAGTCAACAAAAGTAATTAATAAACCTTCAATAACATTTTAAAGCTCGTTCAATATTTTTTTTAAGATTCAAAGAGATAAGAAGAAGGGATGCACTGATACCGAATTTATTTATGTAATGCTCAGCTGTGAAGATTGAAGACTAACCATGTTTGGTGTGAAGTACCAAATAGTTCATAGGTCTGTAGTTGACGCTGGGGAACCGTAATGTTAATATATGACAATATCTCCAGGGAGTCAATGAAATTATTTAGGATCTTCCACAGAAACATAGCGGAAGCCAAAACTGTTCTATCCAACAGGGAACTTGTTATAAAAGAATCTATTATATATTAGTTCTCAAAAATAAAAAATAAAAAAAACCTTGACGCATCTACAATATAAGGAATACCCTACGTAATTCTAACATTGATCTATTGAAACTGAAGAACAACACAAGCCACCAATATAAGTGAAACATCTTCAACCTTAAAACGACAACTAAATTTCTTGCAGCACAAGCTAACCCAGAAACTGGAATTTCTGCACAAAGAAAAATATCAGAAATATTTAGCATAGATCCGTCCTGCAGACAGCTTACTTTGGAAAGCAATAAAACGAATATTGAAAAAAAACCTATCTCCCTTCCTCTTATAAAATTCAACAGAAATTTGGCCCACTTGGGGTCCAGAAAAAGAAAATTTTTTGTGGAATCTCTGGAGCAGACTTTATCCCAGGTGACAGGAAAAAATGATGTGATAAGCGAGTTCGTCCACACTCCAACCATGGAGCAACAATTGGTCACACTTAAGGAATTGGACATAAAAATGCTAAAAATAAGAAAATTCCAGGTCATGATAAAATTCCTTCCATTGCATACAAGCATCTTCTCAGAAACGTTGTAAAGTTGTTCCTGAGTGTATTCAACAGCTGCTTAAGATAATAATCTTAGCTGTACTGTGATATTAAAATATATAAAGATAATTATGTAAAGCCAAATGCAATATATTCATGTCAGATTAAATCAGCCATTCAAGTCAGTTAAAAATGTGTTTGTATGATATGCACTATTTGAAAACTATGTTGTAGTTGGGCTAGTGAATAAATAATAATAATTACCAGCAGGCTTTGAGAATTACACACCCCTGGGTGTGGGGCAGTGTGAAGTCTTTGGTCTTATCCGTCCAGCCCCAAATCAGTCTCCCATTCACACACTCACTCTTAAATAAAAAATTTCCTATTTAAATTACTCCATCAACCTTTTACACCTAACTTTACACTAACCTAATTGAGGGTCTATGTGGTACTCAATAGTCTTCCATTGGCCCTTTCACACTACACATTCATGCCAGTACTCTCAGCAACATTGGGACACAAACTTACAGTACTTTATATGATAAAACAACCCTATTTCCTAACCCAAAAATTTGCTGCTGTGCTCAGGCACAATTCTTTGCCTAGGCAATCTCTATATGGAGCCAAGGAATTGCACTCTTCAATTATGTGGGACACATTGAGCTGCCTTTCTCTACACGCTGGTCATATACGTGGGCTTTGGCGTTTTTACTATTATGACTTGTTTCATTATTTATATGTTAGTACTTTCGTGCATAAAAGGCTATCTTTGCTGTAAGTAGAGCAATCTTGGGTCATAAGTCTTAATAAGTAACTTATCGGAGATTAATTTCTTTTGAATATCTAAAGGATGCTTGCAATATTCATTCAGTAAAACATCAATAGGGGTGGATTGGTACCTAGGTAATGAAAGGTATAAAGAATGTTCACTCAAAATGTGAGGGGGAAATGGAATTTTTGAATAATTACATTTTTGTACTACACATTTTTTATTTTATTCTCTCCATTATTTGAACTTAATCGCTCAAATTGAGTTCAATTAATGAAGAAAAAACTCAGGACAGCACAGGGAATTTTAATTAGAAATAATATGTAACAGGTATAATTACATGGTGGGTTGATTTGACCACTCGTCTATGACACCCAGTGAGTAATTAGACATCAAGCCTTCCTATTTGACAAATCATTTTACTTAAATGGAGAAAAACTAAAAATGTAATAACTATAATTACTACTTAGTACTATCACTAGAAAACTAATTTACTTTTAACTGGACAAACTCAATAAAAGTGTAGTTTCTCCAACAACAACAAAATATATTTACATTTAAACTCTATTTTTTGTATACATAAGAATAACTTGAGCTGCATTGTTAGCAGTTAGTGGTTAGGGTATCTGACTCGTAATCGCTATGTTAGCAGTTCTGAGTTTGAATCCTGGCAGAGCTCATGGCTTTTTAATTGATAATGGTAAGAAAATGTATTGCAAAATGGTTTGGCCCATTGTGGACACCCAGCGGGTTATTGGATGATGAGCCTTCCTGTATGACAGGAATTACTTTTTTTTAACTTATTTTTATATAAGTTCCCACGGCCACAGTAAACAGAAATTTTTTATTAACTATGAAATAATCCTGTACTAAATGTTGTAGGTTCTGAATTCTTCCACTAATTTAATTTAAAGGTCGTTTCACTACTGTTTTTTAAATGGAATATATTTTTTTTTCTAAATTAGTTTAATTGTTTCAGATGAGAGTTAAATCTTAGCATTGCTTAGGAGTCTCATGCAAGTATGGATCAACCTCATGTTGGATCCGGGTTGGCCTATGAGTGAGTCGTTTGATTTTTTTGTTACGACCGTTTTCTTTACAGTTCTTTCTCATAAAACAGGGACGAATGGAGAAAGGTTTGCCAACTGGATTCGAAAATGGAAAAGCTTAAGAAGGCCGCAAAGCGCGGAGGTCTGCGATGTAGTCAGTTCCGAAGTGTGATATGGAAGCTTTTTTTAGGAGTTTTAACCCCAGGTTCTAGTCCTTCATGGCCAATGGAATCAGCCGATTCAAGGGAGCGTTACATCAAATTGAAAACTGCCTTAGACGTAAACCCCTATGTGCATTCTGAGCCTGACGACAATCCATTATCGCAAAATGACAAGGTATTATTTAAATAAAAAGTCTTTTTACAAAAGACAGTTTTTAATAGTATAAAATGTATATTCAATTGATTTCCCTCTCAGTCTTCTTATGTTATTACTTATTAGTTATTACTGTCTATAATAATAAATCTAAATATCTAATCCTTCCCCAAAATTTATGTACTCCATTAATGAAATGATAAATAGGATGTACAAAATTCTGGTAATTTACAACATTATTACATAAGAAAATTTATAGCTAGTAGAAAAGCGTGCTTTTGATGATGGATACGAGGAAGCAGGGTTTGTGCTCCCCAGGCACCGCAGCCTTCTGGTTTATTGTGCATTTAGTTTGTGGATTAGTGGATAATTAGGGCCGTTGGTGGCTGCAACGGTTATGGTGTTGATACTGCATTTCTAAAGGAAGGTCCTGAAATGGAATTCAGCGGTCCTGAATTTGAACCCAACATATTTACAAATGTTTTTTTTATCTCATCCAAAAACACTGACACCCAGGGATCTTAAAAAATAATAATAATAAAATAATGGACTGTGCAGATATAGCTTGAAAAATTCAAACTATAATGCAAACCTTTGAAGGGAGTTGGTTCAGTTTGACCAAGTTTAACTCCTTATTACCTTTCCTGAAGTCTAATACCGATAAAAGCTAGCATCCCGCAAGGGATCATTCTTGGTCCCATCCTTTACATCATATAACCATCACACTCTTACCATCATCACCACCCACATGCACAACACTGCATTTTTATCCTCTAAACAGAATGCTGATGCAAAAAGTGGAGGGCAAAATTGAATGAAGAAAAATATCCTCAGTGCTCACGTTTAATAATCGTTATCAACAAAAATATTCTCGACTTCCATTCAAATCAAAGACTTAGGATTATACCTAGAGCACAGATTGACATGGAATCTCCACACAAGATTTAAGAGACGACAACAATTTAACAGAAGACTTGGACAACTACAAAGGATAGAAATCTGTCTTGACTGTTAAAAATTAAACTAACCTTATACAAAACTTTGCTGCGACACTTTGAACATACGGAATGAACTACGGTTCAGCCAAGCCAATTCAACATCCAACAAGTTTAATCCTTCCAAACAGAAGTCCTCAGATAAATTGTCAAAGTTCCTTCCTGAATCACTAACCTCACTATCCACAGCGCTCAACATTCCTTTTGTAAATGAGCTGATCCGTTCCCAATTCCAGTAGTTTAAAAAAAAGTTGTATGATCATTTTTGTAATGTGCATTAACATGTATAGAATACAAATAAAAATATAAATAAATACATTAATATATGCCAGTATTCTGCTGATCAAAAAAAAAGCTGTTATTAATCACCATTTACATAATTTGATGAACCTTGAACTATTTCCTCCTTTGAACTCAAATTGACAGGACCTATAGCTACTTTGAAGAAAAAGTAAATAGGGCGATGGATAGACCCCATGCAGTTTACTTTACAATAAAAGTTATATTTTTTATATTTTATTTTGAAGGAATGTTATGCCCAACTTATAGTCCTGACCTTGCTCCTTCGAACTACCACATCTTTCAAGCAATGGCCCACTTCCTTAAGATAAAAACACCCCACAAATATTTAAGTAATAATTAAATACAAATAGTTTTGTGTATCAAGGAAATCATTTTGCTGCCTTGAATATCTAAAATTATTTTAATTTAAATGTTTTAACATTTTGGTGCACTCTAATAAATTTAACTCAATGATAATTTATAGAGTACCTGGCATCAATATTTCTGTGATAAAGAGCTAAAGAGTATAATTAAGCAAGATGTCATTCGTACGCTGTTCTCCGGTGTTGATTTCTTCAAAAATGAATTTATTCAAGAAACGATGATTAACGTCTTGTTCTGTTATGCAAGAGAAAATCCGACTATGTGTTATAGACAGGTTATTATAATAATTGCTGTTTACAATTTAATTTTGGTTTTAACTCAAGTCTTTCCTTGATTTTAGGGTATGCATGAAATTTTAGCACCGATAATCTACGTCGTACACTGTGACCATATGACATTGCTTAACAATCAGCGATACTCACTAGTCCGGTAGGTCCAATTCAAAAACTTGAGTGTGAAAAATCGGGATATAAATACATTGAACCAAACAATTTTTGACTTTTTATTGAATATACAAAATATTTGATTTAATAAATACTCATTGTTTTCAACAAAAGTAAGCCGCTTATAATAGTGAAACATATTTCAGTTATGATAGAGCGTTCTAAGATGTAACTCATGTTTGTTATTAATTGATTAACCAATAAAACTTTATGTATTTATTTGCAGATAGAATAATTAAATAAAATATTTATTCTAGCTCAGATATATTAGAAATAGTGAATCCTCGTTATTTAGAAGCTGATTCTTAGTAAGTAGATCGTACTTTTTATAATATTTGATCTGCTCCTCTAATTTAGTATTTATTCTTAGTGCAATTTTTTGGAGGGTGATGGATGCCATCAAGGGCTCATACCTAATATCAAACTTGGCCCCGACCTCAACAGGGTATTTCCCAACAGTCGACAAAGGCCTGGTAATTTTGTAGAGATTTCAATCAAAATGTGATGTTTTTAAATAAAATTATTTTATTCAGGTCAAATCAGACAATAATCAAGTATTATCCCAGTTGACCTGGATCAAAAATAATTTACTCGCTCCGATAGACTGGGAACTGAACAGGCACCTCGACAATTTAGAAATCATGTTTCCGCTATTTGGAATGTGAGGGATTTTATTTTATTTATTTATTTTTAAGAAAATGAAAAAAAAAATTAATTTTCAGAAAGTGGCTTAGACTTCTCTTTGGAAGAGAATTCCCTCTCAATGATCTTCTTATCTTATGGGATTCCATATTCGCAGAAAATGAAAATTTCGGTTTAGTCAATTATATTGTTGTCTCCATGCTTGTATCGATAAGGCAAACTTGTGAGTTTCACTTTACACTTTATTCATTACAGTACAACAGTACTTTTTTATCCACAGTGACATATTGTTACAGTGCTCTCTGAAGATTACTCAGCTTGTTTAAAAACGTTAATGACGTATCCTCCGACTGGGGATATTTTATGTATAATTCAATATGCACTTCATTTGAAAAATCCTAGTGTAAGTAGTAATTTTTTTTATTTGAATTTTTATTATTATTTATAATAATAATAAAAATATTATGTGCAGCAATACAGTATTCCTGATAAAATAAACTTCCAATTTAACCCACCTGTGGTTGATTTTACATGTGCTAACAACCATGTTAATTACAGACGCCCGTAAGTAATAATGTCACTTGAATATTATCAGTATAATTTGTTTGTTACTGATCATTTTGGGTTAAGTCTGTCAGATATATTTCAGCATTTTGCCATCTTCAGTGTGTCTGACAGACCAACCCATCAGACCAAAATGATCAGAAATGACCAAATTTCAGGTTCATTATCCAGCAGACAACATTGAGAAATTTCACAATAGTAATTTTTGTTTAAATTATAGGCCAATAATTTGTACTGCTATACCAAAGCCACAACCGCCAAAATTGCCACAAAATTCTCGTAACACCATTGAAGACGGCTATGCTTTATACGTAAATTTCATAATGTTAATGTTAAGTTCAAAACTTGTTTATTGTTATAATAATTCCAGGATCCAGAATTGCTTTTAAAAGAATTAAAAGAAGTACAGAATACAATGACGTTGTGCAGGGCGAAGTTGCTCCAGTATCATAAAATCCTTGAACAGTGTGCCTCTTCTCCTGATCCACAAATCCGACAGGCTTTAACCGGCATCCTTGGGGTAAATTATAACGTAAAAAAAATTTTGAACAACCATTAAATAAATTATTCTTCAGCTATCGGTTATGTTGGGAAAGCACATACCCAAGGTGCATTGGCTGCAGCCCGTCGACCAGGCTTATGAGGTGCACGAAATGTTGGTTCTTTCCCCGGTTGACACGCCGTCCTCGAAGGCGAGAAAAAAGAAACCTCCTCTGGTCGATATGACTGTTTTCAGCTGCACAGTGACACCTTTTATTGAAAGTGATAACGAAGATTGTAACCGGATGTGGAAGTCTCTTTAGTCCAAGTCATTCCAATATATTTTCTACAGCGATCTCAATATTTATTTTTTTGTATCTTGGTGCTAGTCAAAATAAGTTTAGATTTTTTCCATATTAGTCAATTTATATCATTGTTAAGCAAATTAATATACAATAAAACTATGAATAATAATAATATATTAAAACTATGATCATGAATTACCATCGATATTATTTAATCTCGGCATTTTATTTAAATATTATTTAATATTTTATTTGTATGTATATTTCAAATTATTTAATCATGAAACTGTATTAAATGCCCAGTAAGTAACGTGTGATATACAAATGTGCATTGGCAATATTTTTTATATCCTTTGTTTATGTACTTGCATGAAAGAAATATATTTATAACTAAATCAAATCTAGTCTTTTATCACTTAACTGCCTTTGTACTATTTTGTTTTATTTTTGTCTACAAAAGGGAACAACTTCAGTAATTTATTAAGCAAACAGCAGAATTTTGAACAAATAATAAGAAATTCTGGCTGTTGTGAGATCTTTATGCTTATAATTTTATTATAGCTATGGCATTAAAAGTCCTACTTAAAAAACTTTCAAACCATGAGATTTCCTCAAGGGTTCTGTGGTCAGGTAATTCTGATTGTTTGTTTTTCAGTTTCTTACCGGTGGGTAGTGCATTGTGTTATTTATTCTATATAAATATCCTTTTAATTTAACCGAAGACGGCGAGAGGCATAAACAATATGCATACCACAATGATTTGAAATGACTAAACTAGTAACCCATTATTATGTGAGCGACTTTCAGGGCTTCACAGACACAAATTATCTGAGTCAATGCTTCAGCTAATCAATACTGTGCAAGACGTGTACAAGTGTTGTTCTAAAACAAAAAAGTTTTATAACAAAATTTCCTCCTGTGATCCACGGGGTGATAAACCTTTATTTTGAGCCTTAACTCACACGGTCTTGGTCTGTCAGACGTCTGTCACATTTCACCATCTTCAGTGTGTGTGTGATTCTGTTCAGTCATGCTCTTTAATAAGATTAATAAGGGTTTGGGATGGGTGATCGGCGTATCCTTTTATATCAGTGCTTTTTTATTTTTATTTCATATGGTGTCTTGATTTGTGTAAAATATATAATATTAACTATTTTTAATTTGTGAGAGTTTTTGTACATATTGGGTAAAATAAAAACAATTAAATAAATGATTTTAAACATTTTTTATTAATTAAAATATTGTCCATCACTCTCAATACACTTCTCTCAGCGGGATGGCAATTTCTCTATACCCTCCAAATAGATTAACAAATTCTGTAAACACATCTAGAAGACGTTAGAAACCACTTTTTATCAATAAATTTTGTCTGTTGTAAAACATTTTCCAGGTGTGAGAAAAAAAGGTAGTCGGTGGGAGAATGGTGAGGGTGAGGCAGAAGTGCAAACCTTCATAACCAAAATCGGCCTTTTCCGACCAAAGTTGGCTTCAATAAGCCAATTTCTGGTGCATCGCTTCAATTTGAGACCAGTACATTTTGGCATTGATTGTTTCGCCATGATTCAAGAAGCTGTAGTAAATCAGATAAAATGAAGCCCACCAAAGAGTCACCATCACATATTTTTAATTATAAGTTGGTAGCTTTGGAAAATGTGATACTGCTTCTCATTTGTCAAGTTACTGTCCAGAACGTCTGCTGTTATAGAATCTAATTATCATCACAAGTAACAATTCTGTCCATAAAATTGTTGTTTCTGTATCGGCAAAGAAGTGGTGCACATCTCTTCATATCCATGATTGATTGGGCGGTGGTTTACTACATGAGGAACCCAACCTGTGAGCTTTTTCACCTCTCCAGTTGGGGATCAGCGACGGTCGATTTGCTAACAGAAAGATTTTTTTTCGATCAATTAGTGCATGAGGAACCCAACCTGTGAGCTTTTTCACCTCTCCAGTTGAGGATCAGCGGCGGTCGATTTGCTAACAGAGAGATTTTTTTTCGATCAAATTAGTGCATGAGGAGCCCAACTTGCGAGCTTTTTCACCTCTTCAGTTGCCTTAAGGTGGTCAGCGACAGTCCATTTGCTAACTGAAAGATTCTCTGCAAATTCTCAAATAGATGCTCTGGGATTTTCTTCGACCAAAACTCGCAGAACATCATCATCTAGGGAAGAAATCTTTCCACGACCTTCTTTGTCTTCAAGGACAATCTTCCTCTCGAAATTTTTTAAACCATTTCTGAACGGTGCTCTCAGCCACTCTACCATCGCCCTAGACTTCATTAATGTTTAATGGACATCGTTCCGACCGAGTTAAAAATCGTAAAACGAAATTACGTGAAAATCACGCGTTGACGTATTAGTAAAGACTGAATTATCCCAAGTAACGAAATGCTACTGAGATAAACAAACATTTTTGTTTGGAAGAGGATCAAAAACTGTCGGCATCCCTACAAAAGAATAATCCGTCAGACGTAAACAGTTCATTGTATAGAGGGGTAGTTGAAAGAAAGCATGAAAACCTACATTATTTTCTGGACCACCCAATATATTTCCAAGTTTTCAAGGATGTTCATTTTTCGTCCTTTTTGTACGTTGGGTAGTTCCACGTTTGTATTGTTGAGGGTCTGTTTTCAGTGTTTTGTATGCCTTTTATTTCTCGTCCCGTCTGTACGATGTATTTGCCCCTGCGTTAGTACGCTTTGGCGTATATTCCATTTTTATCAAGGGGTTCGTTTTGTCTTAGTTGTTTTCCAATTGTGATTGTGATCTTCAGTGCTTTTTTAATACATAATTTTTAAATCAATTTGTTAGTTTGTAGGTTTCTGTCCCTGATGGTGGACTTGTTTAGGGTGACAATTTGTTGATCGCGTTTATTTTATTTATTTTTTTTTTTTTCTAAAGGGTCATTTTCAGCCCGAAACTTTGGCCTAGGCTCCAAACCAGGCGGGCCGACACGGCAGTTATTTTATTTACTTTTTATTACTTTATTTATTTAATTCTTTTTCTTGTTATCAGTATAGTAGATCATATTTTATTTATTAAATTTGCTGCTGTCAAAAAGCTGAATATTTTGCAATATTTTCTTGGTTGTCCCCTAATATTTCATACAGCGTATTCGGTAGAGAATAAAATTTTCTTAAGTCATGATAGTAAAATATGGTTGTTATTATTTTATTGCATACTCCGAATACAGGCGGAAGGTCACGGGCCATTAAGTGACCCTTGGTGGTCGGCAGTGCCCTATTCTCAACCTACTCGATACTACCTCCTCCCTTCTCTTCAACCTAAACGATGAAGGCCATGCCTGTGTGGTAGATTTATTTCACGAATCTTTTTGCTTGTAAATGAATGCCAGGTTTTTTGCCATTGTAAATATATTTTCTCCCTAAAGGCCGAAATGAGGTCATCCAAGCTCACCTTACAACAAGGTTTCCATCTCCAACTGCCTCCTTGGCAGCGTCTATCATTGCCAGGGATACCCGAATGACCAGGAATCCAGAGACTAAATACTTTTTCCTTTGCTGGTCAAGACGTTTCAATGAGTACAATAGATCATGTACCATAGGGTTATTGCTGAAGGATTATTAAATGTTTGCAGGGCAACCATTGAGTCAGATCAAATAACAATTATTTGCTCGTCTGGATTAATAATGTTGAGGGATTTATTTATGGCTATAATTTCGGCGTTATAGTTGCTTGCTAGGGGATTTACTGAAAATAAATATTTCCTTTTTTAACAGATACCTGCAGTACCAACACCCCTAATATCCCTGGAACCATCTGTATGTATGTCGCTGAGGACAGTGCGTTTTTTATTTTTTGAATTTCCTGTTTGTATATATAGGCAGGAGTGGTGGCTTATATTATATTTCGCCTATGATAGTAGAATTTTAGGGTGGGATAAATGCCAGGATAATCGATTCTTTTTGGATTGAAGGTACTGAAAACTGCATAACCTAAGCAAATACAATCAGGCATAAAAAGGTATAGATTTGGTGTCCTGATAATTAGAATGAGATTTAGTGTTAGAAAAGAGATTATTTAGAGGGTGAGTGGGAGTAACTATAATCCTAGTATAGAATTTCAGGTCCAGCAAATTACGTCGAAGGTTTAGGGGGATTGACCAGCATCGACTTGGAGGCTGGATACAGACTGGAACGAAAAGCCCCAGGAACAATCCTCAACCCCATGTTTTAAATTGGATCCAATTGGCCGATTTTCTTTTTGTGTGGCAGAGTTACATACATTGCATCCATAGTCCGAGCGTGATTGTAATAGACCATCTGGCCTAACAGGCGTTTTGATTTCTCTTTCTTCCCCTACACTGGTCAGTTTATATCCGAGGTACTGAACTAATGAGTTTCTGTCTGATATTATTGAATTATTGGGTTGTCCGGAAAATAATGCAGGATTTTAAGTTTTCATTAAAAAAAATCTATATAAAATATTCTGTTTACGTTTACAGGATTACTCATTTGTATGAATGTCAACACTTATTAATCCTCTTCCAAATGATATTGTTTGTTTACCTCTGTAGCATTCCGCTACTTGGAAATAATTCAGTCATCCTTATAATGTCAAAGCGAGAATTTCGTACGATTTTCTTTTACGAGTTTAAACTCGGCCGAAGCGGAGCCCAAACGGCTAGAAACATTAACCAAGTCTGGGGCGAGGGTTGTGTTAATGAGTGCACTGTGCAAAGGTGGTTTAAAAAATTTCGGGAGGGAGATTTCAGCCTTGAAGATGAAGAAGGTCGTGGAAGGCCTTCCTCTCTTAATGATGATGTTCTGCGATCAGTGGTGGAAGAAAACCCCAAAACAACTGTTCGAGAACTTGCAGAGCAACTCAAAGTCAGTAAAACGACCGTCGCTGACCACCTCAAGGCGATTGGAAAAGTGAAAAAACTCGAAAATTGGGTTCCACACTCATTAAACGATCGCCAAAAAATCAGCGCTTTGATGTTTGTGCATCACTTCTTTGTCGAAACAAAAATGACCCATTTCTGGCCAGAATTGTTACATGTGACGAAAAGTGGATTCTCTACGATAACACTAGACGTTCTGGACAGTGGCTCGACAAAGGAGAAGCTCCAAAGCCCCCAACTCATCAAAAAAAGGTAATGGTTACGGTATGGTGGGCTTCATTTGGTTTAATACACTACAGCTTCTTAAATCCTGGCGAAACCATCAATGCTGAATCATACTGTAACCAAATTAATACCATGCATCAGAAATTGGCAGTAATGAAGCCCTCTTTGGTCAATCGGAAAGGGCCCATTTTGTTGCATGACAACGCTCGACCACATGTGTCACGTGTAACGTCACAAAAATTATTGGAGCTTGGCTATGAAACTTTGCCTCACCCACCCTACTCTCCGGACCTCTCGCCTACTGACTAC